TTCATGGGTTCATGGGTTCATGGGTTCATGGGTTCATGGGTTCATGGGTTCATGGGTTCATGGGTTCATGGGTTTGGGGTTTGTTTGTTTTTGTGTCGGAGGTTTTGGGTTTGGGTGTTTTGGGTTTGGGTGTTTTGGGTTTGGGTGTTGGAGGTTGAGGTTTCCGAAGGGATGTGCTTGCAAAGTTTTATTGCTCTTAATATTATAATTATATATATATAAGTACAGTGCAGAAGTTATGACGAGCAGAAGCGCTTACTTTTCAATCGCGTAAAAAAATTTTACCATAGAGCCCGCGTCGTGACATCCTGAAATATAGGGTTAGTAGTACATTATCTATCTGCTTATCTACTATAGAGCCCGCGGCAACCATCTAGACCACTCCCCGACCGAAAAAGCAGCGGGCTAGGCCTCCCGGCATGGCGTGTCCCAGACAGCGTTGGCTTGCCTTACTAGCAAGATGGCGCCAAAAAACGGCCTTGGGGGAGCGACCTCCACGTGGCATGGGCGCAGGTTTGATTTTCCTGGCCTTTTGGGAGGTCGCACGAGGCCCCTCCAGAGGGGAGGTTCCAAAGGGGGGGTAAGCATTTACGAAGATGGCCGCTTTTCTGTGACCGATTCTAGTGCTGTTTTAAATTTCCTGTCGAAGTGCTTATCCCCTCCCCTCCCCCCCACCCCTCTCTTCTGGAAGTGGGACGGTAGGCAGTTCAGTTAGAAACTCGACGCCGCTTTGGGATCCGTCACCGAGAGGCATTTTCTGCTGAACTGCGGACGCCCCCCGGTCTTGTGCCGTTTTTGTCGAGTGGTTTCTTGCTGAGGAAATGCGTAGGCCCATCATCTGGCTGCCCAGCTCACTGCGGAAGTGCACCAGATTCAGGGGATTATAGGAAAAATTTTTATATACATTTTCAAAATATGCACTTCTGCTCGTCATAGAACTACTAGATGAGGAACATCCTAGATCAGATGGGCTGCTCTAAAAATGCCAGCTGCCCCTGAAGCCCCACCGCTGACTGAGGATCAGCTGGAGGCGTTAGCGAAGAGAATGAGCGCGAAGGATCTGGAAAACCTGGAACATCTAGCTCAGCAAAAAGAGGCAGAGGAACAAAAGGATTAGTACTAATCATATTTACTTGAATCACTAAGGAAAGTACTTACCTCCTGGATCACTATGTTTCACAAAATGTTCTGGTATCAAGCAATTGATCTTTATCTCATCCTTCAAGAATGTCAATGTACTCACAATGAATCATTTTTGTATGAGCAGACATAGTTATAGGTGGAATAGGTAGAATTATTTCTACGCCGATCATTCACATGTATCCCTAAGTTGTAGTAAAATGATTGATCGCGACACGTCTATGGATGAAAGTCAAACGAGGAATATCATAGGAAAAGCAGACTATCTCGGAAAAACGTTAAGATTGAGTTGAGGCACAAAATATAAATACGACTGTGCACGTCAACCGCAAGCACCTTGCGGTTGCGCGGTAAGATGTTGACTAGACAATATGAACACGACAGCATGCAAATTTATCATTCTGCACAGAATCACAAAGTAAGAAACGCCAAGCGTTTTCGTAGTGATGATCATAGATTGTGGTAAATTCTTTCTAGGCATAAGCCTTCTATGGCTATGCAACAACTGTATATAAGTAGTGGAGCCACGACCGGCCCCCCCTGTAAAAAGCGATTCGAGGAAGAGAGTGCGATCTGATTTGTAGCTAAATTAATAGTACAATGCTGTTAAGGATGAAGTAGACGAAGAAACGAGCTGCGGATAGAACCTGAGGTCTTTTCTACTCGCGACAGCCATAGGTCACCCAGGTGTTCAATTAGCATACCAACAAGCACAAGTGCGTGCGTATGTCCACATAGAGTACTGATCGTGATCCTCGTGGTCTGTAAGAGTGAGTCTCAATCTGTCACAGGGAGGAAGTCACCAACACGCAATCTGTTCGAGAGAGTAAGTGAATACTCTGACCGCGGCCTGTCCTTTATGACAGGGGGACCAGTATGATGACGTTCTGTTCATGCTCCGGCTCCGGCTGAAGCTGAATCTATAATACGTGCATCATCGACTTCATCAAAGTGTTAGCATCTGACTTCGAGCGAAAGAGTTCTAGTCCAGAGCGAAATCAATCTGATTGAATCATATCCTCTGTCATAGAGCAGATACGCGGAGTAGGATGCACGTTTGTGAAAGTCGTACACGGTTATTTTGAATTTTGATTCTAACTAACACTAACACGCATCAGTTTACATTCATCTTAACCACTGTCAATCAGCAGGCTTCCTTGTTTGATATTCCCCATCCAAGCTATGCATTTTCGTCGATTGCATTAGTGCAGATGGAGGCAATCCCTATAATTCATGACCAATTACTGACCCCAACAATATTGTTGATATTTATTGATGAAGCATTCATTTAACTACTCGTGTTTGGTAGATATGTCATACGTATTTGAGAAGTGTGAGTGCTCTTTTTATGAACCTCTATTGACAAGATCACTTCTTTCTTAAGCTTTTGCTTTTTTTAGTTATTGTATATAATCGCTCGAGACTCTGCCTCTGCCATCTTCCCACGCTAGTACTTCTGTCTTTCCCATTCTTGCTCGTTTTTTTGTCTTGATTTGATACCTCTCCAAAAGCAAAACCGACCAAAGCCTGAACTTTATTCATTCAAGTAAAAATTCATATTCATCGCTACTGATAAATTCTAAGAACATCAAAATGAGTGTTGCTGCCCCTCCTCGTCTTCCGCCCATCGGGCACCATGCTGAGAGCACTTCTCAGATAGCGAAAGCGAACGGCACGAAGTGGAGCAACCACAGCCAGTTCAACCGCGATCCAGATATTTGGATCGGCGTAGCAGACGTCGTCATATGGCAACTAGCCAAAGACGCCCTTTTCTCCAGCTCGGGGGCCAAGGGAAGTAAAGGCTCCTCCTCTATTCGCGTGTGGTCCTGCGGCTGCAGCAGCGGGGAAGAAGTCTACTACATGAGGATGATGTGGATTAAGCGCTTTAAGGAGATCTTTCCGGAAGTAGAACTTCGAGTTCTAGGCACGGATCTTAGTCCGGACTGCATTGTAGCCTGCAACAGGGGACAGTATGAGCACCATTCCGTGTCTGTTTTGCCAAAAGAATGGCAGGACCAGTTTTTCGATCCGCTGAACCTACGACCCCTGCAGTCCCTTGTTGTCCATGTATTTGTTCTACTATGTATCTTAGATTTTGATTGATTTTTACTTTTTGCTACTAGAAAGATGTGAACTTAGTAATGAACGTCTTTCAAATTTTGGGAATCTTTCCTCAGAAATGCAAATGATCAAGTAGAAACAATTTCGTTTTTCATTCTCAACAAAAGGAACAAGCTGTCAACCGCGATCATTCCTTTTTCGCGAAGCCGCTTGCGGGGAACGCATCAGCGGTTGCGGAAGCATTTCGAGCTGCGCGAAGGGAAAAATTTGAGGGAGCAGGATCTGCAAATGGCAATAGTACCAGCCGCAGGGTGCGCCAAGATTCAGTCATTCGTCGCGGCGTTGAATTTGTCCAGCAGGACAACCGCAAAGAGATGCCGGATGAGACCTTTGATTTGATTACGTGTCGCTACTCCTTGGTTTTGTACACCAAGCATGACTTGTGGGGTGCGTTGGTGCGTTTGATTGAGCGCCTTCGCGTCGGTGGTTTTCTGGTAGTTGGAAAGACGGAGTCCTTGCCTTTGGGCTTTGCGGATCGCTTTAATTTGGTGCGCGTGCTGCATCCAGCCGGCATTTTTCAGATGGATTCGAACGTCACTTGGGGCTCACAATCGTACGACGCAACGCAGCGTTCGGGCGACCAAATCCCAGGTGTCTACCAGAAAATGAGTGCAGCCGACAGAAGGGAAAAACGAGAGGAACAGACTGCGCAACTCAATGCAGCTGAACAACAACAACGACAACAGCAGCTGCAGATGATGAACAAGACTTCATCCAGCGTCAGCATGATCAAGGCAGAAACTTCTGCTGCCGCAGGTTCGGCACTCGAGGTAGCGGCTAAACTAAAGCAAGTTGCCATTGCAGAAGCTTCGAAGACAGTGAGCGCAACTAACCCGCGAGGCCTACAACAACTTGAGGAACAATCGACATCGGCAGGCTCCAGCGATGAGCGCAGCAATAATGGTTCTTCTGACCGCGTCGGTGGCAAGTTGGCGGGTCATCGCTCAGCCTCGATGCCAGCCCATTCCACTGCCGAGCAGAAGAATGGCCGTTCTTCAGCTTTGAGTTCCCCCCGACGCGGAGCATCAAAGGCAGCAGCGACATCGTCCTCCGACGACGCTGCCTTCGGGACTACTTCATCAAACACCACCACGAGCAGTAGCGACGCGTCAAAGCCAAGTGGCTTTCAGTCTTCGTGGGACACACTGAGGCGATCCGCTAGCATGGTCAGCTTCGGTAGCGGCGACGTCACAGGAAAGCGCGCACAAGATGTGGCTGCGATTGCTAGTAAAGTCCGAGTTCCATTGAAGAAACCAGTTTTTTTCGTTCCCTCAGAGGACAAGTCAACTAACGACGCGCGGTTGCAGTGCGGTACCTACGGCGTTTTTCTGAGGCGGCATCGCGGAGGACAGCAGCCGGACTGGTTGCGGAACAAGGTGGGCGCGGCCGCTTCCATAGGCCGACCACGAGTTCCCATGCTTGACCGGAGCAAAGAAATTTTACACCGCAAGCGCGTTATGCTGAACTCTACTGAAGAACTGACGGAACGCGTGGACCCAAAAGCAGTACTGCAGAAGTCTATCGACGTTTATTCTCGAGAAATCAACAAACACCGGACAGGCGTTGGAGCAGCTGCGCACAACAGTAAACAAACCACCACCGCCTCCGGAACCGCCAACAACAACAAGTCAATTGAGACCGGAGTGTCGAGGCCGTTCACGCCAAGCAAAACAACATCAAGCCTCTCAACTTCCGAAACCAAGACCACTTCCTACGGCTCCCCGAATCGAGCCGCTTCAGAAGCACGCGAGGGCTCTTCCCCCGCGCGTGCGGTGGCGCCGGCAACGCGCTCTACTTCTGTCACCGAAAAAAACAACACCTCCTCATCCGCCAAAGGTGTCCTGGCCCCGAACTCCAGCGTGGCAACTGGGGCAGCGACGTCGGAGTACCACTACGACGCAAATGGTCGTCGTGTATACCTCAAATCCGCAGAGCAGCGCAACTACGAGAAAGGCATTAAGGACAAGACAGCAGCGAATCGAGGAGGTATTTTTGAAAAAAATAGAAAATTTGTTCTCTCTCTCTTTCTCGCACATATGTTCATCAAACCAATATTGTCTCTCAATAATAATCCTACGTGTTATAAGTTGTTCGTTCTTGTACTGTTACTGTTTATCTTCCTACAGTTGCTCTTGCACTTGCTTCTACAGTAGAAGGAGAGAATAGGAAAAGCGATTCAGTCGTTCGCTGTAACATCATGCGCGTACGACGGTAAATGTTATCTTTTTAGCTTATAACTCATCTTCAATCTCTATCTCATTCTCAAATAACTTCTACAGAATTCATGGGAGCAGCGGAAGCTCGGGGAAGAGGGACAGACAAGAGTGATTCTGATGATGCAGGTGAAGGCGATAGCTCGACCAAAAAACGATTAGCAACTACAAGCCCGTACCGTAGCAGGCCAGCAGATAATACAACGTCGACTACGAAAACAAAAACTGTTCCTTCCACTTCATCTGACGACGCGGCAAGCGTGAATCGAGCCCAGGGCATGCAACGTAGCGCGTCCTGCGAGCTGACATCTGCAAATATGAAGGCAGCAGCAACAAGTGTTGAAGAAAGAGGATATTCGAAAGAGAAGCCGGGCACACCCTCTGGTGGTTTGACACGGTCTTCGTCAACGTCTAGTCTATCAGGTTCATTGGCGACAGGATCAAATAACCTGACGAGTAGTAAAACGACTAGCAAGACCACGTCCGGTCAGACCACGACATTGGCGTCATATCTGGCCACGCGAAATACTTCAAAGCCAGCAGGTTGGACATCTTTGAAGGGTGCCGCGTCTGGTGATAGTGGAGCAAAAAAGGCATCCTCGTCAATGCAGTCGAAGTCGTCCGCAACAAACTGCATCGGTAAAAACAAAAGTTCAGTCTCAACAGCGCGCAATGAAGCTGAGATTGTCGCCAATTTGACGTCGCGACAACGTCCGGATCGACCACCAACGCCTCTGCGTGACTCTCGTGGAGCTTCTCGCTTGATGCGCATGCGAGAGCGAGAGGAAGCCGCTGCCCCACTCGGGAAGACGTCGTCCGCAGCCGCACTATTTGGCTTCGGAAGTGAGGACAACACCAACAACAAGGCAGACGGTTTGTCGGGAGTTACAACCTCATCGGGTACGTCTTCCACTGGCGCAGGTGGAGGAAAGCAACTTTTTTTGGACCAATACTCGCAAGTTTACCCATGGGCTAAGGATTTGCTGGCCTTGGATGAGGACAGGCTTTGGGCTGCAGCGACTTTGGGTGAACAAGGCTTTCAACATGCCAGAGCCCAGAGCCCGAGACGCCATAAAGATTCGACTGAAGACCAAGACAAGAACCGCTCTTCCTACTCCGGACTCACTTCTACTGGTATACCTTCGAGTTCGAATGCCGCACGAAACAAGGTGCTGTTGAAGCCGGCAAAAGTTGGAATGGTAATCGACCACAGAAACAACTCCTCTTCAGCAGAAACTTCTAACATCTATGGTGGTGCTTCGCAAGTACCAGGAGCGCAAAGAGGTCCATCGTATGCCAATGCTCGCATGGTAGGCGGAACCGCATTCGGAGGAGAGTCCTCTATTGGTGACGTCTACACGCCTGCTGGAGGAGTGCGGTCCCTGCGTCCGCCAAAGGACCGTCCTCATTCACCGACAACGAAGCTTTTGATGAAAAATCACGACGACCTCACAAATCTCTTGGGCAATAACAAGGGCGTAAGGGACGCTTTCGCAGGTGGGACCAGAGAAATATTCTCGCGGGGCAATGGGAATGTTGGTAGGTGATAGTAGACTAGAACAAAAGCTCATAATATAATGAATACCTAACGAAAAAGGACTCAAATACATATACATATCTACACATACAACAGCTTATGGATAGCCTAGAACCTTCATCGGAAAAAAGACGGTGTCTGGTCAGACTACCGCAAAAAAGATTGCGGTTCCGGGCAAACCAAAAAATGCTTAATGTAGTGACCCTTCTTACGGCGCTATTGGTATTGCATCATTTTACAGTTTTTATCTCCTAATACAAATACTTTTTTATCATCTACTTCTACAAACTAATATGTTGAATATTATCATCAAGGGGAAAGGATTCCAGATCCAGGTGCTCAAGAGTTGCCATATTGAACAGACACTAACACTAACAAATAACTAACATGATGATCAAAATTCAGAAATTTCGAGCATACACTTACACAGATACAGTTACAGATTTCTAGCATAGTACCCTACACATTCAGTTTATATCCACATCACATGAGTTATCACCGTATCCATCGCAAAAACGAATAGTCACATTGTTTGATCAAGTAATGCACATTATCGTAAACAAGACGCTTACAACGCTAGTAGTACCTTGTCCATTTTACTGGGTTTTCATCCTCGAAGTCAAAAAATTTATTTTCTGGGATGGAGGATGAGGATGAAGGGCGACTTAGTGCATCACTCCTATCATGATCTCAGCATAAATCCACATGGGGACGACAGTGTGCAACTTGTACAGGAGGTACAAAGGCAAGGATAGGTATGTACAACAGCTGCCTAAAAATGATACTAGTGATAATATTAATAATTTTTCTTTTTTATAATCAATGATCTACAAGCCAGCTGCAAGAGACAAAACGCAAGGAGAAAGGCGTCCTCTACCCGTCAAGCAGTTGTCGTTTTCGTACGAGGCAAAGTATGCTAGGTAGCACGCCAGTCTCGCTTACAGGGTAGAGGGACACTGTACATCAGCAGGCGCAGGAGTGCCTTGGAAAATCACTTTTCCTGGATTGCGGAAACTCAATGAACATCAAGGTCAACTTCAGAAAATACCCGCAACCGCATTTAGATTGATAGGACTTGATCTCCTCCTACTTACTAGGTAGTAGGTCCCTGGAAAAAAATCATTCTTTTCATGTTCTTGGACGTGGCTCTCGGTGATCACGCCGGTCGTGCACAGCGATTCAGAGCGTTTCGGGTGTTATCTAGTACACACGAGAAAATGCGCCATGCTATTGATGTTCTTTGAGACTGAGAGCGATAGTAGACGATATTGCAATCTGGTGAGGCGTTGAGATATGTGGATGAATGAAGAGGCGCTTTACCTGGTGAAGCTCGGTAGAATATGTAGCTTAAAGTGAAGCGAAATTCAGGAGGAGATGAAGCGAGACACGTTTGCACGCGAATTTACACATCAAAATAGGAGACGAATATTAAACATCTGGTGCTGCCTGTAGTTGTTAGAGAATGACATAATTCATCTTTGAGCGGGATACTAGAGAGAACAAAGAGAGGGAAGAGAAGCCACTTGACAAGACCATCAGCATCAGGATCAGACTCCTTAGTTGCCTGTTTTATATATTCTACATCTGCTTATTTCATTTGGTTTTTTGCGTCACTTTTTTAGCTATTTTGATGATTTCCCTACCGGCCAGCGATCGTCTGCCACTAACGTTGACATCGTCGGAACACATTTAAGTAGTGATAAAGAATATTGCTCTACCAGTACCAATCTATCAAGTGATTGACAAAAATCCTTGAAGTGCTTGTGCTACTGTAAAAACAGCACTCAATTATCAAAGATGCTGAGACGTGGCTTTCGAAGGCTAAATTGGCACGGGTTACAGGAATTCGCGATCCGTGATGCAGATGCGGCGGCTTTTCGGCTTGCGCGGCAAGCAGATGGGCTCACGTCGGAAACGATATCTTATGTCATCGATCATGATCATTTTTAGTGGTGAGTGTTAGCATACTCAGCTTACAAGCAGTTCTTTCTGCCCTCGTGGTCGTGACGCGAGTGACTAATACTAATTAAAGGCATTCACCTCTAAGTTTTTCAAGAGTCAACAGCGCCGAAGATTGACTGGGCGAAGTTTAGTTCAGACATCCAGCACAAAGACCTCGTAGCCTCTTTGAAACAGTATGTAGACGAGCAGTCCAAAATCTTAGACACTCTAGCCGCTGAAGACCATGCAAAAGCAGCGAAGGACAGCAGATTGAATAGTTGGGAGGTATTTACATCTAACAGCTTCATGAACTGTCGGAACAATCACATGAATGTCAACATTTTTTAGTGCTCTCGGTACTTCATCAAGATTTTCATCTATGCATTTACCTGCATTCTTAAACAAAACGTTCCACATTCACCAGGCAGTGTACCAAGACGCAGTGTCGACAGCGCACGCGGCGGTGCAATCAAGTGAGGAGATAGTAGCGAATGGTGCTAAGGCACTCTACATATCGTACAATAACCCTCCGATCCACACGGTTAGCACGCAGGAGTGGCTGGATGTGGACCAGTATTGGCAAGCGTTTGTGGAAAAGCATCAGTACTACCATAATCATCTCGACTGCACGTCGGAAGACCCAGAAAGCAAAGAATATGACGAGAAAGTGAAGATGGGTACTACAACTAGAAATATTAATATTTCTGATCTCATCTTCTCTCACTCTTTGTTGGTTTATCTTTTTTTCATCTGTCGAACCAAGTCCAAAGACGTCCCTCCGATTAATTTCAAGCACAGCTGCCACAGCCGCTCCGTAATGCTGCATCCCAATCTCTCTACATTTCCAATCGCAACTTACTAAAACATCGATCAGAAATGATGCAGAATTTCCGGTTACACGACGAATCTCATCCGAGGACGAAGCTGTTGTATCAGAGGCCAAGTTACGAGTACTACTCCTATTTCAAGGGAGTCTTAGTGGAGCATATGATGTTCTACCTAGCAAAAACAGGAGGTGACGCGCGGCTCTTCCCAGAAACCATGCCGCACTCTTGGTACAACCGAATCTACGAGACGAAATTCAAACTGGTGGAGCTACTTCAAAAGTTATGGAGAGAAGTTGTGCAATCGCTATGAACTTAGAGTTAGAATACTTGGCTCGGGATACTCTTGAAGATGATCCGGCTTATTCATTCGATCATCTTGTAGGTCGTACTTTCACCTGATTCTCCAGCACAAGTAATTCTCAAGTAATAAGAACCTGCAGAAGTACATTCCTGCTCATAATCTAAGAATTCGACGACGTTCACTGCAGGAGACCACTCTAGCCCGAGAACTCGATCTCGAGTTCACTCCTCACGATCTAGTTGGTGGTGGCGAGGCATACTATGCCAAGCTTATCGCCAAGGAAAATACCTTCGTCGAAGCACAGGTGAGACTTACATTGTTGAAACTTCTTTCATTTCTTACCGATGATTATAGTAAAACGATTGTAGCTGCAGCCACGTACTACGCCAAACTATTAACTGAGCAACAAGTGGTAGTGGGATAGACTTCTTTCCAATAACTACACCAGGTAGCCCGTTTAATGGGCGACTTTGCTTTTCTCTCCGAGGGTATTCCGGTCCAAAGCGCATCGGCACTGAAAGCGTGCACTGGAGGCAAGTGCTTTTCCCTTGGCGACGATGTGAACGCAATTTTCTTTGTTCCAGACTCAGCACCTGAAGATTCGCCAGCAGCTGCTTGCACTACCTTCTTGAAGGCGACACAGGGCAAGATGCATCCAATATATGACATCGCCGTATCGGAATTCGCCAGTCTTCTAGAGGAAAGAAAGAAGGCTTTTGGAGGTGAAAATATTCCTATGCTGAATGTGAATGTTGAAAAGGCAGTCCCAAGACATCCACATCGAGTATGTGCTGCTCTGTGAAATTTTCATGCGGCACAGTCATTTTGCTTTTACTCATGCATCTTCACATAACTATAATTCGAGATAACAACAATGAAATATAGCTGAATCTCGATGTCATTCCGCTCGCCAACCAGGTACATGTTGGTTCAATGCTCCGGGCGAGACCCGAGCATCAGCATTCATGCGTAGGGTGAAGGCGGACGACCCACTGAAGCCAGTATTTGCGGAATACGTTCAAGAGCTCGAGGCGAAGTGGGCGGCAAAAACTGAGTTGTCTGCGGATGCCGCAGCGACGAGGATAATTAAGGCTCAAACTGCTCCAACTCCATAAAAGTAGTAGAGAATAAGATACCTACATAGACATACAGGTTCCGTGAAGGAAAAACTAGAAGCAGAGCAGAGTCAAGATTTTGATAGGTGATCACTCCTCCCGCCGGTTGTTTGATGATGACATGACTGAATGCGATAGTGATTCCGCCCTTGGCGACCACAGTGACAGTCTAAGAAAGAGCAAATCGAGGCGCAAGCAGCCGCTGATGGAGCAGCATTTACGGAGCAAGCAGTAGAAGTCTTAGGCGGCACTGAATCCTTGACGAGTACATTTGCGGCAGATCCAGAAGTGGAAGCCAAGGTCCGTGCAGCAACCCCAGGAAAGTGAATGCATCATCTTTAGTCAGAAGTATAATTTCGATCATTATTTTCCTGAGACAGAGTGCGAGTGACCCCATGTCTCATGGGATAGCGGTGGCGACTACCTCAAGAGTCAAGATCATCTTCTCACTTTTCGTCTTCACATATAAACTCTTACTTCTCTTACAGCTCCTCGAAAGTTTCCCATTCCCTTGGCTATGTTCTAAGGTCACTTCTCTTTCTGGAAGTATCTTGAACGTTTTTGTTGTACGTAGCTATCCTATAATAGTCTATGAGATCCATCAACTTCAACTTTTTGTTTTTCTACAGAGAGAGAGAGAGATTCTACCTCCTTGTATATTGTTGTTCACGCAAAGCCGAAGGGGTACCAAGTCTTACTGCTTCTTCTTGATGTTCTTCCTTGTTCAGTGGAAGCCCGACTGTAAGTTCCTGCTGACTGTTGATAGTGTAGCGCTCATAATTGATCAACTACAACTTCGTTTTTGATGGTCCTTGAGGTTTAGGATCGTTGCTTGCCTTGATCTTGGTCTTAGGATGCAGCACTATTGCTCCTCTTTTCCTGTAGTGAGGTGGATATTCAATGATCGAGAGGCTCTGCTTGAAGCCGCGATTGTCGACGCTGGTACATCGATCCTTGAATAGGTCTCGTCTGCACCCACTGTAACAACAAACTGGAGGAGGTCTTCTACTAGATCTCATTTAGTGTGGCTGTGATCGTGAGTTGCATTCTGATCAGCGTTCAATCTTCACGTACAGGTTGACGTCAAATTAAATATTGGATTTTTAACCTGAACCACCTCCACCACTCAGTGAACCACAGGAAGCATACACGAATCGACGATATACTATGTATAGTATCTATCAATCTGCTTCTGCTTGTAGGCCCCCCTCCTAACTTCGTCTTGGTAGCTCTCCGGCTGACTCCGCTCTCCAGCATACGTAGATAGATTCAATCAAGAAGAAACATCAAAACGGCAAATACATTCCTCTCCGAAAAGATGGCAATGTTCGAAATCGTGGATGCTCAGGGATCCTCCTTTATTGGCTACGGCCAGAAAGAATGTCGCGCTACCCGCGACATCAGCGAAGGGGAGATTATTTTCCGAGAAGCCCCTCTAATGCGTTATTACAACTACGCTGGTGGACGTGGAGCAACAGCAACTACAGCTACAGGTAAAAAGCTGTCTGATGCGGTAAACGGTTCCTCATTCGTGAACAGCCAAGGAGAGCAAACTCATGGTCGTTTTCCTGATTCGGCAACTTCTGGCGTGGACGAGTTTTTTGAAGAGGATGCGACAGTGAGACTGCTCGATGCTGAGTTTCGAAAGGGTCTTGAGGGCTATCATCCTCCAATTGCTATTGCTAATGGAGGGCAGTACAGCGATCTTGCAATTGAACATCCCTCATCTTGTACTACTGCAGCAACTTCCGAAGTCGTCGATACTGCTACGGAGGACCACGAAAATACGAGTACTACTGGCGATGGTAGCGAGATAGATGAGCACATGAATGCTCGTGATATGATCCGCAACAAAAACGTGGGACAGCTGACCCGTCTAGAGATCCCGCTTTTTTCCAACTTCCTCTTACACAATTAAGGCAAAGGCCCACCACGCGGATATAGTTTGTTCATTCTCACAGCTGATTCTGATTTTGCTTTTGCCAACAAGATGAACTCTTGCAGAGATAATCCGTTTTTTGTAGTTCTTAACCGTGAAGACCTTAAAAAAAGCGAAATATCTTTCTATTTGTCTTGAAGTAGATCAACAGCAACGCTGCTATCCGTGCTGAGCAGTTCTAATGAAAAAAGAGAAGTGGAGCTGCTGGTAGTGGTAAAGACGGCGACGATTATATGCAAAGAGTACGATGGCAGACGCTGATGAAGATAGTCGGTAAAAACAAACAGTGGCTGAGTAAATTCGTGACGCAGAAGACGTTTATCAAAAGGGAACAAGACCGCGAACTGTTATTACAGATTTTGACGCAGTTCTTCGATATTTGTAGCGGTTGTAGTGAAGAAGATGGCGCCGGCAGCAGCACTAGAGGTACGAAAAACGACATGACTAGCAAGCGTGAGGAGGAGCAGATGCGGTCTATACTCGGTTTGACCAGCGACACAAACCTATTTGATGTCGCATCTTTTGGTTTGGCCCGCAGCAAGTTCGGGTTTTCGAGTGGTGACACTCGTCTGAAGGTCAAGCCTTCTGCTTTTCTCTCGTGTTTTACCTCTTTTGCTTTTAGCTTGTGGAGGATCTGGAAGAACAACGCTTTGCCGACACCCACACGACATTTACTTACGGCTGAAGAGTAGATTAAAAACAGAGAGTACTCTCCTAGAACCTAGGTTCTCGTACTTCTAGTAAATTGGTTGACTCTTCACATGGGCTTCTTAGTTACTTCCCTTCGTCTAATGCGATGGAGAAAGGATGCCGATCAGCGGACGACGACATATTGGAGAAACAGCAAGTCTCCTGTCTTTGTCCAACGATCGCCCGTTTTAACCATGGCTGCATGCCAAACGCTATGTTCGACTGGCGTTTTAAGGAAGGTGTGCGAGAGGAGCAAACGAGAGGGCACGATATCTTTCTATGGCTACCACTAACGCGATGTTCAGTGATGACGTCTTATTTTCAATACTATCCGTTGACGTTGACTCTGATGTCGTGATTAATGTGATTCATTCAGGTGCGTATTTAATCAGCAACTACCGAGATGATGATAAGAACGGCATTCAATTTACTTCAACGTCTTCAACATACAACTACTACTACACACATGAATGCTTCCGGTATAATTTGGTAACCTGAATTTGATCACAAGGATTCTCTTCTTGTTTTCCCTTATGATCAAAATCAGGCTACCTAATACCACAACAATAAAACGCAGCATGTTGAACATGCTTTAACTGCATTCATCTGCTAGAAGTTGTTGGCTCTAATCATCGCACCCGCTCTTGGCGAAGAGGTTGTAGTGGCCACGGTGCCGATCCGTAGGGGTGAGGAGATCCTGGTCAATTACATCGGACCAGATCCGTGGGCAATGAGACTCGCGGAAAGGCAAGAGATCTTCGCACGTGATTTTGTTAAGGCTCATGATGTTGATGTTGATCACGCGTAAATGATTAGCGAAGATATCTCCGGTATATTATCTCTGGATCATTCATTGCTGAATTGAAGTTGATCTTCTAAGTACTTTATGTTTATGTAAGTATGTAAGCAAAAGCAGCTCTAATTTTGGTTTTCATTGCCGCTGCTATCTTTGCAGCTGCGAAGATTTGCTTGTTGATGAACAAGTTGAATCGTCTCCAGCTGAGTCGCCTCCACGACCAAAGAAAAGAAATTCCAGAACAACTCTAGCGCAAGATGAACCGGTGACAGAACAAAAACGACATACATCTAGTACGTCGACGACAAATGACTGCGAGCAAGACGATGACACTCCTAATGTGGAAGCTCTGCGCACATCAGACGCGAACCGCGCAAAGCTCAAATCATTTGGGGATGTCTTCAAGGCTGGATTTCTAGACGAATTATTAGAGCCGGATGGCGCCATTAAGCTGTGCGAGGACCTCTTGGAGCTGTACCAAGCGGAGTACCAATCCGCGCATCCTGGCTACACTTCTCAAGTCCTCCAGACATGCCTTTTTTACACGATCAAAAAGGCGGAGGAAGACCAAAGACGGTTGGACATCCAAGCGAGGGTGTTGCAAAGAAGCATGAGTAAGAACCAGAATATTGAAACCGTCGACCCTGTTACAACAAGGACAACATCATCTAGCACTGGATCACCTGCAACAACAACTCCAGAGCCACCAGCTCCAGAGCCGCCGGCCGCCAACGACGACAAGGAGGCGCTACAGATGGACCCGAAACTGGCACAGCAAGCGCGAGTATTCGAACAGAAGCGGGTGATTCAGCAAAAGCTTCAGCTCATCATGTACCAAAAGGCCTTCAGAATGGCCAAGAGCTCGGTCAGATTGTGTCAGATTGCCTACGGATCCCATGACCCGCACACGAAGCTAGTCATCGACATCCGTGACCTTATAAAGAAACACCTTGTCGGGATCTCGAAGACAGTTCTGGAAGCTGCTGGGTCAAACTCTTCAGATAAAGGTGCCATTTCTAGAAGTGCGAAACAAGAAGCCGGAACCGGAACCGGACATAGTTCGTGTACCAACGCAAAAAGTAATATTCAACCGGCTCTTGTTAGGCTTTGTCTCTCCGACCAGATAAAGACGCGCACGCAGCAGGAGATAAGTGCGAAATTCGACTGAGGCAACTGTTAAGATAACATACGGTTGAGCTAAAAACAGGATAAAAGATAACATGTTCGTATCCTTGCTTCGTCTACACGATAGTTATGTCCCTAGTACTGCTTACTGTTTCGTCTACATCATCAACCCAATAGCGGTAGATACGCAGTAGCTACTTGAAGACGGCACATGCGACAACGAACTCACGGATTGTTCCTATGAACAGGACCAAAACCAAGAAGAGGTGGAATGCTATATTTTAACGAGAATGTTGACGGGTGATACTCATGACACCAGAGATTTTTAGATTTCTTTTGTGCCTTTGCGCCACAGCCACTGAAGACCAAGATAAAGATGTCTTTTCGCATTGTAGCAAAGCCGCTCCAGCACCAGCTCTCAAGGAGGTGGCCGGCGCATCAATTTCAAGTTTTTAGATTATGACGGTCGACGGTGCTGCAAATGGACGAGAGCGCTACGAGTACAAATACGTAGAACCGAATTAGAGAACTTCAGGTTTATCAGCCGTGCCTTTAAGTTTGATTGCTCACAAAGTGTGATGTTTCACGAGGCAGTAATTCTAATTGGTGTAGCTTTAGTGGGCAGCGAGATAACCGCCCTTCAAATTTGGCGTGTGTTCGCAACATGTCGCGGTGAGAGGGAGAGAGGTAGAGATGGGTATTTGAGCTGTCAGGTTTTTATCGCTATCCCACGACATGGTCACCTCCATCGGATTTGCAATACATCTGCAACTCTGAAGAAAGTAGTCTGAACTTGTTCTATCTCTGTGGTATTCATTCTGATTCCGTCCGCCGGTCGTTATCCATGATCAGTCAGTCATGTCAGTACCCATGTGGATGTTCCCATCACACCCCAATATATAGAAGAAAAAGTCCAAGTTTCCCTGTGCCTCTTTGTAAGTACTTGTTTTCTCATTCTCAGCTGCTTGTATTTTCTTTTACTTTCGTTCGTAGTCGTAGACGCGGTAAAAGTGGTTCTGTGCTATTGCTGGTCATTCTTGTGGCAGGACATCTTTAACCTTATCTCATTTGTATCCTTGCCAGCTTAGATATTTATTAGATAGCCCCAACTTCATCGTTGCCTATCAAATTGATTAATTCGTCAATCTGGTTGACCTGCTTGTTTCGCATGTTGCAGTAAACGAAGGGCAACACACATAAGCGCAACATACTGCTACTCGCACGTGAGGCATGGATTAGATGCGAATGCTTTGAGAATAAAAAAAGTATAAAAGAAAACAAAAAAAATGTTGTGCCGTAAGCAAGTTCTCCAGTATTTCTGTCTTGTCGCCTCCTGTTCTTCGCTCTTGGCAAATGCAGTGTCTGGATGGAGCGCAACGGTTCAGGATGTTGGGGTGGATGAGTACCTGCTGACGATGCAGTGGACGCACGACCCGAACTTGGTGCAACCAACACAAGTCTCGAATCCCGGAAATCAGGATGGCTCTGCTACCAACGGAAAGCAAGGCGTGTGTGACCCCGACAGCGGTGCGCGAGCCACGGACGGCCTTCTCTACTGGGTCCCGCGGATCTTCGCGATGCCTGTCAGTGCGGAGATCACCCAGAAAACAGGTGTCCAGTACGCCAGTGTAGACTGGCAGCCGTGCGGTCACAAAGATGTCGTCATCTGTCACGCAGAGTCGCACTACGATTTCCACCTGTACTACGTCCCACAATCAGAAGTGAACTCCTACAACTGCGAGGGACCGAATCCGACGTGTCCGGACGTACCTCTACCACACTATAATTCGCTTTCCATCAGAGTCTGATGGAAGATAGAATTAGACAGAGCTACACCTAATCTATCATCTCACTCCTCATTTTTTATGTCTTCGTTTTCTTTGTATGTAACTCAGGAGTCTGCGGCTGCTCTCTCTCCTTTTTTTTCGATCGTATGACCCTCTACCAATACTCCTCAGACTGACGCGGATTCCAATCAGCGTTTTTTCAAGCTGTTGAAGGGAAACTTGCCCAGCTTTTCGGACAAAGGAGGAAACACGCAGACTTTCAACTACTGCGTTGATCCTACCAGCGCGCTGCCAAAAAGTGGCATTCACTACGGGGACAAGTCCGAAACTCTAAACGAATGGAAAAATCCAGTCACGATCATTGGTACATTCAAGCTGGATTTCTTCATGGTAGTCTCCTGTCTCTCTAGTCTAGTTTTACATAAGTCGTCGCGAGAAGGATGGATGGAGGATAAAGATTATACCCGGGGTCTGTAGTTTGGCATCTTCTTAGTAAATGACAAGTTAGTTACAACTTAGAAGTTTGTACGATGGATTGCAAATATCCTTTTCGCAAGAACAACAAGCAACGAAATATTCTCTGAATATCTACAGGATCGTACGATTGCAAGCTGACATTTTTTGAGCCAATGATTAGTTGGAAGTGGATTTCCAACACTGTGCGTGGTGGAGCCAACAGCTGGCCCAAATGGGAGTCTGGACGCATTACTTACGATTCGCAAACCTACAAGCCCCTACCCCGCGAATGGTCGGTGGAAGTGGGACCCGATTGTGCGACTAGTGGCGCGGTTTCTTGCTGGATTCGCATCGTGGTTCGCGGTAAGAGGTGCGATTCTGGTGGTTGTGGTGCATTACCGCAAGAATGCTCACAACAAAAAAGCTGCATTACGAATCAGCTCACTGGCCGGATGCCAGCATCTACACCGATTCTTGCGCCATCGTCTGGTATAATGCCGTCTTCGTCCTCGTCCAATTCTGGATCGTCCGGTACTTCAGCAGGCTCCAGCAGCAGCGGAACGAGCAGTGGAAATAGCGGCTCCTCATTTTCTACTTCCAGTGGAAACACAGCTACTGGACCTGGAACGAGCGGATCGTCTTTGTCGACCGGAGGAAGCTCAACCGCGGCTGCGACTACACCACCACAACCAGTTTTGTTAAGGCGAGTAGAGTTTCTAAACATGAACATGATAGCCTGTTGGTCTTAGATCCATCTGTTCTGAAGAATATAAACTGTAGATGTGTTCTGAAGGATATAAACTCAGTAATACTAGCAACAGCTGCAATGAATATGAGGTACAGGACCTCTGGCTCAACTATGCTGCGCTTATTTGAACATGATCAAAGTGAAACCGGTTAAAATCGCTTATTGCCAGTAGACCACCACGTCGATATGACTCATGCTTTTCTAATCTTTGTCGATCCTATTTATGGATCGCAGCGACTTACCGTGTCCGGACTGAATGGCGCAACACAAGTCTCCGGACGCTTCGTGCTTGGGCTAGAGCGTGGAATCGCGAAGTTTTTGGGGACTTCCAAGTCGAAAATCTCCATCTTACAGACCAGAGTAGTGCAGAGGAGGAAACTCGAATCGGAACTTGCTGGTGACGTGTCTGTTGACACCGCTCTTCTGAAGCTTGAGAGCGAGAAGGTCTTGATGGGTGGGCGACGAGATGAAGGAGAGCTTGCCGGAGGAGGACGTGGCGAAGATGCACAGTCTCGGACTCGGTCGCCTACAAGGGACTTGTCCTCTGCCATGGCTTCTACTGTCGAAGTGGATTATGTCGTGCAGTACCTGCGTGTCGACACAGAAGCGGGTATCGCTGATAAGGCCAGAAAGTTAGCGCAGTCTGGCGGCCTGTCCAGTACGGAGCAAGCAGAATTGAAAACGGCAATGGATGACGAAATCTCGGTGTCTACAGACTACTCTATGCGTGTTTCTCAAGCAACGCCCTACAGTACGCCATCGAACAGCGAGAGCGGCAGTAGTGGCTACGCTATGGGTGGACTCACGTCGGGAGCAAAAGCTGTGCGGCTACCTATCGCAACGCAGATAGCGGCACTTCTGCTGATGGCCTCGCCATCGGTGTACATGCTCTAAGCCACATTTACGGATGGAGAAAAGACTTCAGGCGGAGAGAAGTAGAAGGAATAGTTGTACTTGGAAATAGAGCAGCCTTGTGGACGAGGATCAGCAGCTACTTCATTCGTCCAATAATATAAAGCTTAAGCTAGAGGACCAAAAGATATTCCAGTCTGCTGAAATAGAAGTGTCAATTCGAGAAGTTTCATCGCGAGTCTTAGATAGATACTTAGCTAGGAATATCATACTTACACCTACGTCAAGACTCCAAAATGAATGTACTCTTTGTTTTGTCCTGAAGAGGAACTTACTTCTACCGGAAGCAAGAATTTCTCGCGAGTGACAACAGAAGGTACTTACTCTAAATATTACCAATTCGTGTAAGTTGTGTGCAGCTGCAGTTATGTACCTTCGTCGTCGCTCCCGTGAGTAAAAACATCGACTTCGTAATGTATTGTGAGACGCAATATGCGATGTCATAGTTTTATTAAGTAGTTTTCAGTATAGCGTAAGTAAGAGTAAGTGTCAGTGCATAGAGAGAAGTCAGGATTCTATCTCCTGTAGCTTTCAGCGCATTTTTGCAGAAGTAGAAAGCACTATCATCGTTTTTTTTTCCTGGACGTCATGTGCAGAGGTGATATTTACATCGGCTTGTTGATCTCAAACTTCACTGGTATGAGATTCCCTGTTGCCGAAATCCAGGACCGGCATACAACTCTTCGTGGACGACATGACGATGTGGACGATGTGCTTCAGTATGACCATGAGCATGAGCTTGCAGAAAATGAAACTGCAAAAAAAATTTCGACTTGTCTTTAAGTTTAACGACAAGATTCATGATTCAACCCTGAATATCAATATCGTTCTGATTTGTGTTCCGTAAAGAAGAAAAATGAGAATGACCCTAATGTGACTCTCGTATCTTGTCGTACTCAAGTCTGTGATCATCTAGAATTGTAAAGCTTCGGCTTTGTTTCTTTTGTTCGTCGTCTGAGTTAGCTTAGAGCGACGAGCGATTCTTTGTTGTCGTACGAGAGAGATGTTTATTGGTTTTGTTTCGTCGGGGCAAACCGCTAGTTAGGAAGTGATTATTAATGACGAGGAGACAACGAGGGAATAAAGTCGTCAGGAAGGAAATCCATGAAACTGCTGGAATTAAGTACTTTACATAACTGCATAAGCATCATCATCCATTCATCGGAAACGTGCACATCCCATGTTACGCCACTTGTGGCTCAAGGTTGGAATTGTTGAAATAAATATCTTACGCGGAGAACCTCCTTGAGTATTCTTCGTTGACAATCATTCTGTTTGTGTTCGACTGCTGCAAAGATCATCTCACTGTGCCACTTTCTCGGTCACGATCATCAGGATCCCCGGAGTTACAGTGGTAGCGGAAGTAGTGGTTATATAAGGCACAGTGAGCTTTGCAGCAGATGCGACTAAGTAAGTAAATACCACATACGTTGAAGTAATCAAACCAGCATAAAGGTCAACACACACAAGATGAGTAACCCGCCTGGGTGGCAGGAACTAGACCCAATGGTCAGCGACATTTCGCAGGACGAAGAAATGGACGATGCAACCATAGATAACGCCGATAGTCTGGTGGTTGGGTCTCCAGATAGATCAGCTGAAAGGGAGACTATGCATACCCCGGAGCAGATTCCGAGTCGCAGATCATCACCCAGCCGCGCGATCATGGATGGAAGAGAGCTGAGCAACGCTGTCTCCAGAGGTTCACGGCCATCGCAACCGTATGGACCGTCTCGGAGCAGGAGCAGAGTGACATCGCGATCAGCATCTCCTAGTCAGAAATCAGTCGACACTACTGATAATCGAGTCGCAGTCAATGCTTCCCCTCCTAGACCGCCGAGAGCTACTGCAAATGATATCATCAATGGAGTAACTTCTGCCGTGCAGCAACAGGTTGGGCAACTAGTCCAAGTGCAAAATCAAATTAACCAGAGCCTAACTGCGGAACAGGCAAGTCTAGGCACAAGGCAGGAAGTGTTAGGCGATAGGCAAACAGTGCTAAATTCGCAGCAACACGAGTTGGGTTCCCATCAGGTAGCAATTGCCGCACAGAACGCTGAACTAGCGCAAGCACATGGAGCAACCACTGCCGCACAACAAGAAATAGCACAGGAAGTAGTCAACGAAAAGGCGAAACTACAACAGTTGAAAGATGACACTTCTCGCATCTTGAATGAAGTGCGAGCTGGACAAGAATCTTCTTCCACTAACAATGCAGTCTTCCTATCGCAGCTACAAGAAATCAACAAGAAGAACACGGATAGAGAAGAGAAGCAGCAACAACAAAACAAGCAACTTCTAGAAGAGTTACGCGCTGCGAAGGAGAAAATGCACGAGCAAGAGCTGAAATTCGTGAAGTCTAACCTAGAAGCAGAAGCGCGACTCTCAGATATGCAGACTCGTGTTGAAAAGAGAGTCAGGGAGCTAGAGGCGGAGCGAACGCGAGCTACTGCTACCAATGTGGGGGTCGGAGTTCATCTGCCGCCTGTTCCTCCTGCTACAGTGACAAGTCACCATGGTGGCAGCCAAGAATGGAGCTGGTGTGAGGACGTGGGTTGCCAAGCCTGGTCGTACTTTCGCAGAGGATGGTGCGTCGGATGCAGTAAGAACTACTGTGACAGACATCTGGGAACTCATCTTTGCAGGTCAGCAGGGTCAAGTACTGAAGTAGCACCCATGCAGCAGAAAGGGAAAGGGAAAAATAACCCGCAAGTGAGTAACTACCTTGGCATTGGACTAGCTCGCACAGGAGTTGTGCAGGAAGTAAACTTGAGTGCAGGAGCAGAATCATCAGTAGGAGGACCATCCAAGTCGTCGCAGGGTACAAGCAACATCCCCAACTACTTCGCAGGAGGTGTTAGCCCGGCAATGGTGGATGCGCTACGGTCTGATGCTAATCCACAGGGATTCATTGGCGCTGGACTGATTAACCAGCCGTCTGCTCAGATCATTTCTGGTTTTGGAGTCAGTAACAACCATACAAACCCACTTACAACTGCGACTGCTGGCATCAACAACTTCATGAATATCAGGGTTCAAAGAGCAGAAGACAACATGCTTAGTGAGCAAGTGCGATTGACCCAATTTGGTATGATGGGGCATGTGCCAGAAATCAACATCTTTCGAGAGTCCCAACTAGATAGCGCAGCAGCAGCTCGAGTTGGTGACAAGGAATGGGCGGAATACGCTCCCAATGACAAGGTGCCTAAGCTGGATGAGTGCCGCAACCTACGGGCATTCATTGCGGAGTTGATGGTGCAGATCAGAACAATGATGCGGAAGGGGAAGTACTTGAGACTAGAGCACGAGCAACATCTGGTCAAGTCCATCTTACTGAAGCACTGCCACAACGACGCTACTATGAAGAGCATGCTGAGGATGAGAATCATTGTGGACGACGACCCATCTACTTGGCTTCTAGACCGGTATGTTCTGCTCCTCGCGAGTGCTAAACCGCACATGACACTTCTCTACATTGAACGCATAAACGCGTGGTCTCTCAAGACGTGGAAGAAACGTCCCGGGACCTCCCTGCTGGATGAGTTGAATCGCGTGGAAGCAGCAGCAGAAATGGTAGGCTATGCATTACAGCAGAACACAATACTAGGTAGACTGGTGGTGGCAGATGAAGTGCGCAATCGTGTCGATATCCCCGCAGCGTTTGAGCAGAAGATCAAGGAACGACTTCAGGTAGTAGAGTGGAGTTGGGAGGAACTAAAGCAGGCTGCCATTTTGGAAGCCGGAATCCGTACGATAGATACTCTTCGTAGTGCAGGAAAGTCGATATTTGATGTGCAGAGACTGGAAGATGGCGCAGTTCCAGACGCGAGTACGATTGCAGATATCCAGGCGCTGTACCCGAAGTTTGGCGATAAGTTCAAACGTCGCAACTCCGAACCAAACGGAGCGATCAGGAGTGGTGCGATGGTAAGGTCAGCTTCCGCTCCTCCGACCTTCAATGGAAAGTGTCGCAAATGCGGTCGATATGGTCATATGAAGAAGTACTGCAAGGAACCAGAGCCATTGTGCTTCTTGTGTTCCAAGCCAGGCCATATCCGCAGAGATTGTCCTCAGGCTAACGTCGGCGACAAACTGGCACCAGAAGAAAAGGCTTTAGGGTTCGCCCGCCGCATGCAGAAGGAAGGAGCACAAGATCAGAGTACGAAGGTCACGATCCACATGGTAGCCATCAACCAGGCGAATGGGCGCGTTGTGGATTCGGAGGAACTCTTCGAAGACGTAGAGTCTGCAGCTGCGGGTGATCATCTACAGGCACTAGAAGTCATGATCCAATCCTTCAGGTGCAACGACATCGACAACAACATTGCAAAGAACGGCACGTCTGTGGCGAAGACCGATAGTAGTGATGATCCAGATCGTGACAATGTTTCTCCAGCTGTTGCCGGAAACGGAGGAGGCGAAAACAATTTCTCTTAGATGTCCCGAGACGACAGTAAACTCGATCACGTCTTCTTTGCGTGGTGTAGATATTTTCGAAATAGCTAGTGAAGCTAACAGATGGAGCAAAAAGGAAGAAGAAGAAGTGGAGGGCCAAAGAGTCCCAAAGTGGAAGAGAAGGAATTGTGACGCAGACTCCGGATTTAACAGGGAGTACTTCGAGTCGAGTGAAGTAGTATTGCAGATGGACGAAGATTGGAGACAACATGGCTATATTTTGGAACGTCAACATATTGGGAGGACAGCCAAGACGGCAGGTGGACAAGTGACATTAGAAGATCGAGTATTTGCAATTTTTAGGTCGTGCAGGTGGCAGATCTCCGGAGTCATAGAAATCCTGACGATCGACGATAGTGAACTACCGTACTACCAGAAAGTAAGACCACTTCTGGGCTTGTTGGGATTTGATCTGACCAACTTCGTGATCATAGGGTCGATGACAGATCCACACGCAGTAGTGAACGGGCAAAGGATCGAGAGGAAGGCAGCAAAATATCAAGTCAACACTTTTGAAGATGTCTCTTCTGAGTTCATGAAGCATGTAGCGCAGCAAGTGAAGGAAGGGAAGGCAGTAAGAAAAGCAGTGCAGTCATACGACAAGGATTGGCATTCAGTAGAGAACAACATCAGCGAAAGTATTAACAGCATCTTTGTCTTTCTTCAGCCTCTCGACATGCAAGCAGCAGAAGATCGACACAGCATAGACTTAGAGTTATCACCAGACGAAGAAACAGTTTACGTCTACAGAAAAATATATCACAACGCTAGTAGTTTGCCTCCCGCAGAAGGTGTAGACAAGCAGGCCTTCATCCGAGTCACGCGCGACCTGGATTTTCCGTTAGGCGAGTGGCAAATGGTGGACAGGAATTTTTCGGTAAAGAATCCGGCAGTAGTGAGTAGAGGAATAGAAGAACCAAGGAATCTAGTTTCAGACTACTTCTTCAAGTCTCCAGTTGAAGGGGCGAAACCAGTAGTGTCCCCTTATTGGCAAGGAGTGCCGATAGTAAAGCATCACGTCCCGGAGCAGATCTCTATGTCATGGCTCGATGTTGTTGTGCGACAACCTCACGAATACAAGAAGATAAAACTTCTGTCAGTGGACGACCCAAATACATTACCAGAGGCCGTAAAGGAACGAGCGGAGTTTCATCCAGTGCCTCTACCCATTCGTCAGGACTTTGCACAGTTTGCAGGAGCTTGGTGTGGGTTAGCTGAGGTTCTGCAGCGTCGTCTAGTAGAAATTAATGGGTATCGTGGTTTCGAGCTGGGAATTGAACGCACAATAGCGAAGAAGGACGCTATAGCTGTAGTAGTCGGAGATCCGACATTAGAGTCCGTCGCAGTAGTGGAGCGCGTCAAAGAACGGTTAGGTTTGAAGCACAGAGCTCGACACTACTCTTTGGCGATGGCTCTTGATCTTCAACTAAAAAGAGCATCCACTGTTGGGAAAGTAGTTCCTCTTGGAGTGACAGAAAGGTCGGACATCGAGCTAGAGTATGATCGATGCAACAAGTTCTGCCGAAAGGATCCAAGAGACGGATTGAGTCGTAAACAGCTTGGGATCTTCTCAATTCTGAGGGGAGTGATGAGGCGTTGCGGGGGTGACACGTTCTCGAAGCAAGAACTGACGCAAGAGGCCAGAAGGGAATTGAAACGGTGTAAGCTGGAGGACATCGAAAGGGCAGCAGACTCGGCGACGTTAGCAATGACAAAGTCATACCGCTATAGTAGCAATCCCATGCGCACCGTCACAGGAACTTGGTGTGGGGTGGACATCCAGGCAGTAGCCATGTTAGATACGACTTTTCTGAAGCAGCCTCTCTTCTCGTCGTCAATGGCTATGATAAACTGCATCAATCTGTTCGAGAAGACCGCCATCGGCACGATCGTGGGACCAAAGCAGAAAGGAGCTGGTGGGGCGGTATCCTCCAAATTAGCAGAAATCGAAGAGTTGGAGAGAAACTATCGCGAGCAATTGACCAAGTTTCTAACTAACGTGGAAACCGGCAAGCAGGTGAAGCCAGCGCCGAATTTAGAAGGAGAAGGTGGTGAACCATTCGTAGGCAGGACATCTTCATCTTCTGCACAGCATGCCCCTTTCCGAGGGCCGTATGATGAGAACTACGAAGGTAAACCAGACAGCACCAGGATACCCTTGGAGAACTTCATGCGGAGTACGGCCAATCGATACCTCTCTAGCTGGCTGAAACGGAATACCCACCTAGAGGGAGAGGAGGTAGAGGAAGCGCCTCTACGAGGAGCAAAGTACGTCGATGCTTCCGAATCAGCGGGCACACCGGCCAGTGAAGGAGGGCATCCTACCTCTGAGGATGTTTGTCAACTTGTGCTACGAGCGGTACTAATGCATATTGTTCGACGGTTGCTTCTAGTAGATCCAGGGCCAGAAAACATTGTCCACGCGCTAGCGCTGTTCCTTTTAGGTCTTGGCATGCGCCTACGAGTAGTTTCTGGTGCAGCCCCTCATGCTATGGCAGCCGCCGAGAGACTACAGCTGTCAGTCAAGACTGGACTGGAACGATATCGACATGATGCCTTTCTATGTCGTCTTGATATTAAGACGCAATGTGAGCTGTTGCATGCTCTCCGTAACGAGAAGGTAAGGAGAGCGCTGAAGAGAGCGGCTCCAGATGGTGCTTGGGATCGTCAACTAGAACTTTTCGGTCCAGAATCCGATTCCATCATCTTCTGGGATGAACTGCAGGGGGAGTTCACCAATCTTGAAGGTGCCAGGAAGAACCACTGGTCAGGAGAAATGATAGAAAGGGCGCGGCATCGACAGTCAGAAGTAATACTGGACCCGAAGTTTAGACAGGCACTGAGGGAGATAAAGCGAGCGGCTGCGAAAGCTACCAGTAGGGAACCAGAATTCCTGAAAGCAGGGCAAATGGTAAACTTCTATACGAAGAATCATAATTGGGAAGTGGGTCATGTAGCTCAGGACACCGAGAAAGGTAAGCGCGTGCCGGTTAAGCCGCTAGGTTCGGTCTCCAAGACGCTAGAGCCAATAGATTGGAGATGGATACGAACATGCGACGACTCGGACTTGGCGTTTGCAGTTCCTCCTTCTATAGAAATTCATCGAACAGATCTACCTTACCTGCCACAAATACTAGATCAAGCAAGAAAGGGAAAGCAGCTAGTTAGGGTGAGTGGACCGCACGTGATGAGGACATGCAGCGACTGTGGTGAAAGACGTGCAATAATTCCTCGACATGCTACACAGAGTATGTTTGTTCGCTGTCGCGACTTGCAGGATACCATCTGTGGTGATATTTCGGATGATAACCTCTTAGAACAATCAGGGTGGGTTCGTCCCCGAGTGCCGACGTCTAGTGCTAAGCCATCGCCGTGGTTACTACCAAAGAGAACAGAGGAAGAGGTGGTGGATGATGATGTTGATGATCGTAATCGTGTGCAGTTCTCTGATGAGAATGAAGTCAGAGGGTACGATCCGTCGGCCGCGCCAGCTGAAGTGGGCGAGGACATCTTGAACGACTCTGGCGTAGAACCTGTGGTGGAGGAAGAGCAAGAATCTGAGTCCTCAGATATTGTGATGACGGATGACGAGGTTAGCCAGGTACTTCTGCAGCGAGTCCAAGTCGATAGTCATGATGACTTCTCCAGTGCAGAAAATAACGAGGTGCAACCGATAATAGACGTCACTACAGAAGAGTTTACTGACGCGGTAGACATGTATCGCATACATGTACATCAACTAGTGCAAGCCAGTGATCAACAAAAAGAGGCTACTTCTAAGTTGGAGCAGGCAAGTGCTGAGGAGGAGGAGCCGTGGGGGAAGGTGGAGCTGTGGCAAGTAGATGAGGCGCTCTTCATGGACTCACTAGATGAAGATGTTGACTCTCAGGCGGCGGAGGAGGTAGTGAATAAGATGAAAGGATCAGGGGGGCCTAGTGTGGAAGACCCAGAGTTCCAGATGTTCATGGAACTCATCCATCCTGACAAGCGTTTTCATCTGGATGAAGTTGATACGGTCTGGGGAGAGTCGCGCGTCAAGAACCTCGAGTTTAATCGCAAGGATCCGGAACATCCTGAACGAAGGACTTTCACCGTGTGCATCCACAAGCGGAAGAATGGTCGCTACATGTTTTCTAGAAAAAGGGAAGGAGCAGTAGGCGCAGTTCGTTTTGCAATGGATGCCAGGCGTGGAGTAGTGCCCGACAATGCCGAAAAGCGCATCTTCTCCATTTTTAGAAAGGGCTTTACCTCTGGTATGCGTAAAAAGTTACGCAAGGGCAACAAGATTCCGGATTACGAACCACAGGATCTGATCGAAGGAGCACTAGATCTGGCAGAATTTGCGGTAGCAGCAGTGGCGAAGGAGCTGCGAGGTACGATGTGTGCTAAGTCGAGTAAGGGAGTTCCCTGTGTGGAGGTGGCAAATGAGAAGGATCTAGCTCCAGATGCTGAGGGAGTGAGGCATGATGGCAAGACACCGCTAACCTCCCGATTCCTCTTCGATATCAAGATTTACCGAGGAGTATACGTCATCATCAAGGCTCGCTGGGCGCCAGGGGGACACATGAGTTCTCGTGCAATGCTAGAAATGTCGGAAAATGGTAGTCCAACGATGACACAACCAGAGTTGCGTTTCCTCTTGTTCTGTGCCAACCTAATACAGCAGGCAGTAGCAATCTACTGGGACGTGCCCCGTGCGTTCAATGACTCTATCGAGTACGAGATGCACGAGAGGCCCCGTATGAAGATTACGCACAGAGGGCCAGTGGTGGACAAAGTGTTGCAGGCAGCAATGGAGAAGGTCAGACGCGAGGACAAGATTGATATTAGCTTCGAGACCATGTTGATCATGAACGTGAGCCAGTACGGCACTCTTGAAGGGGCCATCCTCTTCTTCTTGACTAGTAGCCACCGCTTGCAGCAGGCCAGAATCTTACCGTCACCATCAGCACCGTGCATCTTCCGACTACACGACAAAGACGGATTAGTAGCAGTGCTTGGAGAGCACGTGGACGATTTCATTGCAGTAGTGAGAAGATCCTCTAGACGCTGGCTGGAAGAGACGATGATGGAACTGTTTAAGACGTTACCGAAGGAGGAGATTCACCAAATTGGAGAGGTGCCGGTCACTTTGGTGGGAAAGGAAATTTCGGCTTTTGAGGAGCTAGACCCTGTCCTTAACAAGTCGGTGCCGTTCTTCCAAGTGGATTGTAGGAACAAGATCAAGAGCATCACTCCTTGGATGACGAATGCGGAGATTCACAAGCAGGTTCCAGATGAGGACTCGCTAATGTTGCCAGACGAGATTACCAGACTACGAAGTGTGCGGGGCGAATGCCTCTTCATCGTTATTGGCTGGAGACCCGATTGTCTCTACATGACCAAGGTGGTCAATCTGGGGAACGATGAGACACGAACAGTGCGCATGGCAAGGCGCATCAACACAGTAGTCAAGGACCTAAAGGCTCGCCCTGAGGTAGGTATTCGCATTAGGCGGCACCTATCAACGCCATTTGTGTTTTTCCTGATGGTAGACGCAGGCTTTCAGGCACGGCCGGTGAAGGCTAAGTCAAAGGCCACTGGAGAAGCACTGCTGCTGAGTAAGGGAGTCTGCGAGGTGATTGACAACTCTACGATGGACTTCGCGAATGCCAAGCTATCCAATGCTAGGCCTCTACTAGCTTTCGCACTGGTGGTGACTAGTAGAGAGGAGTTTGAGCGGGCTATTGGCGAAGGCACAGACATGGCAGTGGTTCTTCTAGAGTGGGGGTTAGAGCATTCGGATGAGATAGCAATGTCGTCAGGTAGTGCGGAAACGCAGAGCTACGTGGTAGGTTTGGAGAAGAGCGAAGTCGTTAAGTCAAAGCTAACAGACATTGTGAACCGTGACGAGCATTCCGGCGTAGATCGACGACCCAGGAAGGATGCCATGATGTGGGGAGGTGGTGACAGCGCCGCTGTGGCGATACCAGAAAATCAGAAGCTGGCACTGGACTTGGCGGAATGTGAAGAATTCGATTTGTTGGATTCGGAGTCCACTATTCGAAAGACGTTGAGCAGATCGCTATCAGTAACCAGTGAGTGGAAGTTTTTCTTGAATTCAGCTAGAGCACGCCAGTTCTACCGCTCCTCTATGAGACGGCTGATTCATGTGTCGGACATCCTCAATAACACCGACGTCTTCACGAAGTACAAGTCACAGGATTCGCCCAAGTTCGAGAGGTTTCGCCAGCTGATGCATGGCCGTCTAGTGTGGAAACAGATGGGAGATAAGCGAGGCGCAGCCGGTGGCGTTTTTGGGGTACTACGCGAGCTGAAGCGTGAAATGGGATCCGACCCACGTGCTAGGAAGAGTAGGCTGCCGGGCATGTGAGGAGGAAGTGTTTGTTACCCAGGCAAATCATTAGTTCATAGGTTTGATTACTTCAACCATAGTTACCGTAGGTGGTGGAAACAGAGTCAGTTTCCGGTTGTTTTTATTTGTACAAGTTTGAACATGTTAGGGTTAGTATCAACATTCATAATTATTGATAAGTAGATTTTTTTAAGTACTCAAAGGTGGATGTGGATGTGTGGTAAGTGTATGTAGAATGGATAGTGTTACACATAAGAACGGAGTTATTATCGAGTAGGTCTCCCTCGTCTAGCATTAAAGAAGTTAGGTTGTGAAAGTATTTAGGTAGTTAAGAAAGCGGCGTCCCTTCGAAACTAGTAGGTAGTAAAATTATCTTATGAGCCCAATTTTGCGCAGTAGAAAGTTTATCTGGTAAATGGAGGTAGTCAGTTGTGTTAAGAACAATTATTTTTTTTTGAGGACTAACTATCCCACTAGTAATTCCGTTGTACCCGCTTACTATGATTAGATAAGATGGTAACGCTCTGAGTCTTTTTAACTAGATAGGTGGATACTTGTTAGTAGAGTACACCGCACGCTCATAGCAGAGAAAGTATGAGGTGTTTATACTGTTGTTTTCATCAGAATAGATTAGGATGAAGTTCAACTTTACAATTCTTTAATTCTAGGGGAGCTGTGACTCTCGTATCTTGTCGTACTCAAGTCTGTGATCATCTAGAATTGTAAAGCTTCGGTTTTGTTTCTTTTGTTCGTCGTCTGAGTTAGCTTAGAGCGACGAGCGATTCTTTGTTGTCGTACGAGAGAGATGTTTATTGGTTTTGTTTCGTCGGGGCAAACCGCTAGTTAGGAAGTGATTATTAATGACGAGGAGACAACGAGGGAATAAAGTCGTCAGGAAGGAAATCCATGAAACTGCTGGAATTAAGTACTTTACATAACTGCATAAGCATCATCATCCATTCATCGGAAACGTGCACATCCCATGTTACGCCACTTGTGGCTCAAGGTTGGAATTGTTGAAATAAATATCTTACGCGGAGAACCTCCTTGAGTATTCTTCGTTGACAATCATTCTGTTTGTGTTCGACTGCTGCAAAGATCATCTCACTGTGCCACTTTCTCGGTCACGATCATCAGGATCCCCGGAGTTACACTAAAATAAAATTCAGAAGTTCGCCTTCAAAGAAATTCAATGTACTGCTCGGTCACTGACGACGTAAGGGACCCGAAAAATCAACGGTCTGCGTCTACGAGGTGGTAACAAAAGGCCATCCGGTCGTTCTTCTCTTCAACAGTTGAAGGCAACAAAATTTTCAAAATGAAGATGGACAATCATCATGATTTGCGCATTCTGAAGGCGATCTGGGTCCTGCTGTGGGGCACCCTTGCATATTTCCTCTTTTCAATGCGGAACAGGTATGAAAAGCAAAAAAATTATACTGACGACAACGAAATAGAACGCCTATCTTCATCTCCACCTCCTGCAGCACCATCTTCGTCTTCATCTTCAGACGTAGCTGGAGGTGCCTATTTACCGTTGCCATTCGCTTTGGTGTGGGAGGACAAGGCAGATTTTTTGCGGTTGGTCCATCGTGTGGAAGAGTCCCTTCGTCCTCCGCTTGATTTGCATGACAGCCACATCGATCGGGAACGCGAGAATGTGGAAACGACATCGACGAAGACGAAAATCACAAACATCGGTGGAAAAAACTCAGGAATTCAACCGTTCTGGCACACCAGTTTCATACAGTATCGTGGTTTAGCGCGTTCTCGTTTGGAACCTGACGTTTTCGTCGGCAGTGGCGAGTTTCAAGTACAAGTCAACCAAGTGGACAGACAACCACATCCACAACCACAAGACGAAATAGCAGCGAAATCTACCTCAAGGACCTCATCCTCAGCCACCTCCTCATCAAATAGACGTATTGCGTGGCCAGTGGGATATGCTACACACTACATTGGGAAGTGGAACGTAATGCCGACGAAAAGATTTTTTGATTTCATCTGCCATGAAGGAGAACGATTAGCAGACAACGACGCCAAAGCCAATGAAGAACGTCGATCATCTGTCGAAAACCACAGTGACGAGAGAGATGTCGCGTCTCAAAACGGAGACAATGGGAACAATCCCCAATCGCCTGATGCTCGGCAGAGTCCACGCGAAGCGGTTGAAAAGGTGCGTCCTCCACCTGAATTTTCGCCACCGGTTCCGCTTAACCGGGGCTGGCGCGGAGCGGAAGGCTACTGGGACCAACTTGGCTCGTGAGGGCGCAGGGAGTGGGAGACGACAGCGAGCTCCCCTCTACACATGCTTTCGAGGAAGTGTCGCTTTTATTAAGGCCTACCCCGAATCATCTGACCTAGGTGCGTGGTAAGAAGCGTTTTTGTCGGATTTTTCAACGGAAAGAGACTGCAAAGATGCCTTTCAAGATGAATATAGGCCGCAAGGTCTATTCTCATATATTGATGGCGCTGGACCTGGAGCGCGACGTTTATCAGAATTTCACTCATGTGGCATGTTGATGTTGCATTTGGGCTGCAGCTTCCTAGGTCCTAAGTTGTTGAGAGAAGTAGGGCAAGTGGAAGGGGGCATTGGGTATAGGTTGAGCTTACGGTCGCAAGGAACCGGACTAGAAAGCCTCCCGCCCCTCTATATCTACCCCCGTAACCTATATTTTTGCACGCTTTTTTAATACACCCAGAATCCGCTAAAACTCCCCAAAACAGTATTGCCCGTCTGGTCTAATGGCAGGGCACCCGGTTGTTCACGCTCCATCGTTAGAGGAATCTCTACTAGGTGGAAGGGAAGGTCACCCAGGGCCGTTGGCTGAAGGGTGCTGGCTGGGGGGTGCGGGTTCGACTCCCGTGGCGGGCGGCCTATTTGCCCCCAAGAAGCGGGGCCGTTCGCCGTGTTTGATAGTTCCCTGCATGGGCGTTACATCCATAGAATCTTGTCTTATCCTCTTCCAGCATATGACGAACGATCGCTATTATATTCCATAAGTCGGGCCAACAATCTAAGCTGGCCAATTCGTTTCTAAATCAAATACAAATGACAAATTCAAAATTAATATCGCAAGCCCAAAAATAACGCCATGGCCTCGGTCATGGCCTTGGAACGGTCTCGCTTTACCTGACGATCTTCATGACGGATCCAACAAAACAAAGATATTGTTATTCAAGAACCAGTACCTGTATCTGAGTATCAGACGTGCTGCAATTGCACACGCTTCAAACCACGCATCAGAAGCCGCTCCTGGGCCTTAACCAATTCAGATTTACCATATTCCGAATGTGCAGTTCTTTTTCGGAGGCTAGAGTATGAACTTGCTGATTGTTGAAAACTATACAAGTACTACGACCATAACCTCCCTTACCCTGCTGACCTCAACTACAACCTCCAGCTTCCCTTTGTTTTTCTTTTTGGACTGGCCGATTTCAATTTCTAAAAAATTGTCCTCGGCCATCTTCGCAGCTATTTTTTTACATTTGAACGATGGCACGATCAACACGCACACGACCATGACGAACCGAAAAAGGTGAAATAGCTAAAGTACGATGAATTAATTGCACATTGAAGGAACGCGGACGAGTCGTCTTGATATTAATTGGTGTGATATATAAATCCGATTATGAAAATGAAGATCAGCATCAAGATGAGTATAACGTGCTATGAAATATGATATAATTCAACATGAGACTTATACCGGTGCCCACTTATTCTACCACTCCGATACTACCGAACGTAAACCACGTAGAGTAATTTGAAAGGTTATTACTATAGTATACCGATCACGAGCACGATCATGTCGTCGCTAGTCGATTGTTCCGTCAATGGCGATGATAGCGGAGCGGCCCCTTTGCTCGCTCGTCAGCAGTACAACAACGTGCCGCCGTCTGCGCTCCCAATATCCCGCTTCACCTTCACCACGATCAAGAATATCCGGGATAAGATCGCACATGAGGAGAGTGCGAAGAACCTCGCGCAGCCGTCGTCGTCGACTTCGGGGACTGAGTCCGACACTGCGATGAAACCGCGCGTCACTATCATGGCTGTGGTACCTGCGCAGCAGGTCGCGGAACTGAGCGACACTACATCGTTTGGCCCACGCATCTCGGCGGACGTGAGCACGCACCTTGTTGAGCTGGATGATGATGATTACTACATGAATCGACCCGGTGGCCTTGCAGCTTCAGCAGCCGATGTGGTCGCTCATAATCCCGATGATTTTGGCCGAAAAGTTGTCACGGGTGCTCAGCTGCGCTTCCGCACAGACGTCGTCTCGTTCTACAAGTTTCTGGTCGCCACCGATGGCAACGAGGTGCCCCAGTCTGCGTACGCCCCATCTGTCGCCTATTTGCAAGATCAATGCAGCACCCTCCCGGATGACTCGATCGACCAAGCAGCCAGCTCTAATATACTCCGCGGATACGGTGGGCAAAGCTTTGTCCGTCACCTGACAGTTGTAGCGGAGACGTATCGCCTGTTGGCTGACGTTCCCCAGCTTCTAAAAATAACGTCGGCAGCAGGTATGAGCGCGCTATGCAAGGAGTACTCGGACAAGCTCGACGCATTCAGGTGGAGTGATGTTGTAAGGAGTTGTGGGCGTGTGTTGCCGGTTCTAGCCAAAAAGCTTCACGTTACTTCCACCCAACACCCACGCAGGCAGCCCACATTCTCCCAGGACTACCGGTTCCGATGGGAGACGAGCCACCGCGGAATGCACGTGCGCACACTTCGAGGAATCTGCGACGATAGCGCTGTTGGACTTGTTTCAGCGTTTGAGAAGCATAACTTCACCGTTGATGACGCGGTGGCATTTTATGTCTGCTGCTGTGTGCGACGCTATGCTTGCCAACATAGTACAAGAAGCGGTATTGTCACTGGCAAATCGAGGCAATTCCACAGCTCTGCTGCTCCGTGTCGAGGCGCAATCGATTACATACGTCGGCTTTGTGGAGCCTTATGGGCTTGCCATATATACGTGCGAAAGCCTGCTGGACCGCTGCAGCAAAGTGCGACCAACCGCCTCAAGACAACTCTCCAGGATATATTCAGCACTTTCTTAAGGGTCATAGTGTTGGATTCAGTTTCATCTTCCGCAGCCACCAGCGCGTCTTGGGATATGAACTCTTTCCTGTTCGATATTCTTCTTCCCTGCATGAAAGGAGTCTCCGTAAGCGACTGGGCGGACCGAAAACCGGGAGGCCTCACATCGAGGCGAAAATCTTTGCAAGTTTTCATCGCGCGCCACTACGATCATGGCTGTTTTCTCTTGAAGAAGGAGGCCGATGCAAGCAAGTGGCTCGTTCGAAGGGCGCAAGCCAACCTTGATGGCGACAAACAGATTCTTCGCACCGACATTTTGGAAGCGCCTCCCTGCCTGCATTTTCCTATCCTTGCGCTCGCAGATTGCCGCGGTATTTTCGTGCGATGTCTCCAGGAGTCAATCAACTCAGGTCAGATTTGCTACCGCGCCCTGTGTTCCCATCTAAGCTCCGTGCTCGGCGGCGACTCGACATGTCATAAGGTATTGAGTATTCGGATAGAACTATGTATAACGATTACGATTAGTTATTTATGTTTATCATTCTCAATACTCTACGACTACCTCATCTACATCTTAGTAATTGCTGTGGATTATGTTTATCATTTTACTACACCTACAAGAACTACTCTATCTCTTTAACACACCTTCCTATCGTGTGACTACGAGCACACTCTCACTTAGACTTGTTTGTTCTACATACGCCTTTTATTATATGCTGTTCTCGTTGCATCTCTATTCCGACCACTTGTGCCCCTCAACTTGATCATCATTTTGATTCACTACGTCGTGATTGGCTGTAACGACAATGAATAATATTTATTTTATTTATGCAACTGATCCAGTCAAGTATCACTATCATCTGCTTCCTTTTTTATTCAATTTCTGCTCATTGCTCACTCCCCCGATTCAGCTCATCGTTCCTGAAACGTTTCGCGTGTGCGCAGGCGGAAAAAAGTGTCCTAATTTGAAAAAGCGAGCATCAAGAAAAGAGTCGGCGCCAGGTTTGGGTGCGGGTCTCTGCTGTTGTCAAGTGATTCCAGAAATAATTCGTCGACTGCGAACCTACTATTACGGCTTAAAATTAGTTGACCGCTAGAACTAGGTGGACTAGTAGGGCCTAGGTTTAGGTAGAGGCTAGTGCTATTGCTGAAAAGATTCGAGATATGAATTGAAACTTGGAAGGGAAGCATTATGCCCACTGTTGATCCTGAAGCTGCAGGACGAGGGTCTCGCCATTTGCATTTTATCTCCGCACTTTCGACGGATTCGATAGTTTATTCGCTGATCTTGCAACATCAACATAAGTACAAATTTGTTTTTTCTCTATATTTTAATTATATCGTGTTCTAGAAGTCTGTGTTTGCCAAAGTCGATTCGTACTCGCACTGTCATGTCGTCAATGTAGATCATCTTTACCATGCAGAGACTCATCTAATTCTCCTTGTATTTCCCGCACCAAGTGTGGTCTGCGCCTGTAGAGAACGAGATCGAACGTGTTATCACCACATTGCCGCAGGAGTCGCAAGGAAGAGGGCTACGCGCTGCTATGGCAAACATAAAGTCCGTGAAGGTGAGCGAGGTCGCGCTTCTCCAACGCGCTGCGCTGCGATGGTACTCCGATGAAGACCAGTTGTGCGCTATTCTGTACACGCCTCTGAGCGAAATCCCTAGCCTTGTTACGCATAACGGTGCGACATGGTATGACAGGGACGCGCTACTCCGACACTTCCAAGGACCAAGATCGCTTGTGGATCCCGCGACAAACGTGAAATGGAGACGAAAGCTGAAAGCGGCAAAATTGACAGAGTCAGCAGAGTCTGCACTTGCCCACTGTTACCTGGACGTCGACGACCTGTTACAAAAGATCATGTCGTCTCGCAGCTACGAAGACATAACGTTACCAAACTCGGCGGGAGCCCCTCGCGCACTTGACCACAACGTTGGAAGTTTCCTTTCCTCAACAAAAATGTCTCAATGTGAGGCACAACCACAATGCAAAGATAAATTGTTGCAAGTTGCGCGTGAGCGGTTGGCGCAAATGGAAGACACAAAAACTCGACGCGCAGTTCTGGCATTTGCGATCAAGAGGGCTGGTAGAATTCTTCGACAATCTGCGACACAACAAGGGTCCGCCGGTCATAGCGCCGCGCAAAGCCAACGGCAGAGATCGAAAGCAAAGATTGATTCAATGGACTTCAGCGTAATCCTTGAGACCAAGGCTCTCTGCGTGCTTTTCGATCCTGCAGGCAATGCACTTCTGACGGCGGAAGACGCGAAACCGATTGAAAGTGCTGAAAAAGAGTCGTTCTCCTCCTTGTCTTGCAAGGCTAGCGTAAAAAACGGAGCCGAGGGCTCCTCGATTGCCCGTGTTCGTAACGTGAAGAAAGAACACTTTTTCACGGATAGAAAGTTGGCGAACAAAAAGAAGAAAATGAAACGCGTCCGCGAGGAGTGTCGCATGCGCCAAGCCAAAAAACAGGAACTACTTTTCCCGGGTTCCAGTAATTCTAGCTGCAGCAGAAGTAGCTCCAGTAGCAGTGCTCAGCCACAGATGAAGCGCGCTGACAATGGACAGGCGCACGGAAGCGCTGGCTCAGCACAAGAAGAAAGCGGTGGACATGCAAGAAAGAAACCACGCCTAGAATAAAACTGAGATGCTGCTACACGTGGATTGTTAAACGTGAAAACTTCTTGAAGTTGAATGCGATCATGGGTATCGCGACGTACTATGTTATCTACTACACACACCCTCATCCACCTGACCCTACACTCACACATGATTTTGGTACCACGTTTGGAGCTTGATGCTTTTTATGATGTTGTTTGAACTTCCATTCTATTACCGAATCTCGAAGAACCCACCTAATTCTACAATTGGAGACCACCTCTTTCTTATTTCCGAATCCGTCACCACCTTATATATTCTATACTTGGAGATAGCAAGCAAAGTGTCTTGGCCGGCTTTGGAGTGCTGTCATGAGGAGAAAAGTTCCCCTGCATAGCTGAGGCGGGACTTTTTCTGACTCGGTCCGGGCCACAACTCAACTGTGCCCATTTGTCTGGTGTATCCATTCTTTGTGAAAGAGAAAGGCTGAAAAAATGACTGTTTTTATTTTTATGTCTAAATAGGTTTAGGTATAGCTCTGCTAGTCTATTTAGAAGGTACAGGGTGGCTGAAAGGCCTCTATAACGTTCGAATGACGTGAGAAGAGGTTCCATGACATGTGGATGTGATTGTGGAGAAAAAGCAAGATCGAAGCAAATCAGGCTTCGGTAGATTCCATGTGCGTCAAAGCGCGGCTTCCCTCGCGTTCAGAAAAAATATGCGTCCACTCAGGATGGCATCACAAATCTGCGCAAATGATGATCACATCAGGAAGAGCTAAGACATTGGAGGACTCCGGTTGGACAGATTAGCGTCGATAGGAGATCCTCTGGTCCACCACACGGAAGCGACTGGTGCCGATCCCCACCCCCGTAAGCAATGTTTCTACTTCCCATTCTTCGCGACCAACATTCTATGCCCTTACACAGTGTAGCGAAGCCCGTCTGGTCTAATGGCAGGGCACCCAGCTGAAATTGCCTCCGGGCAACCAATACACCTTGTGGACATTCGCCGCGGCTCAGCCCGCAATCGCTGGGGGGTGCGGGTTCAACTCCCGTGGCGGGCATGTATGTGAGACATCCCCGCATCCATCAGCGTCCAATTAATTGCTTCCGGACCTCTCAGCGGCAAGGAATGGAGGATTTCCCTAGCTCTTTTGTAACGTCTTGCACAGCGCGGGCGGAGGGCATCAGATATTTTCAATACTACTCACTCCGACAGGGCCATAGCCATTATACATCTTCCACAGTAAAATCGACACACGATACTAAGTATGAGCAAGCCTTTTTGTGATCGTACGACCATATATCTCCATGTTGTGGGATTAAAGGCCTATGATTGTCTAACTCTACAACTTCTCGGATCCTGAATGAAGTGAAATAAAGCGATAGGGCTTCCTCTTCGTAGCGTGATTTTTCAGTCTCATATTCATTTTTAGCCACTTTTACTATAAAATGTTAAAATTCATACCCATTTGAATACTGACTGAGTACCCCGTCCGTTCTTGTTGCGATCATCCCAGCTAGATATCAATGTCATGAACTGCAATAAATTCGAAACTGAAGTAGATAGGATTTGTTAATCAACGTGTGTAAAAAAATTACTACAAGTACATAGAATATGATATCTTAAGCGAGAAAAACTGACTACCTCTAATGCTATTGAGTCCAACTAGATGGTTCTTCATTCATTTGCTCACACACCTTTGGTCTGAGGATATCTTTATTCAATTTCAAACAAGTTTGAATTATCTCAAGCAGAAAAATGTTGTTGTGTACATCCGACAAAGGGTCCTCTGCTGGCCGGGTTCCTCGAGGGTATCGAGAGGTGTCAAACGATACTCTGCCACAGCGAGGCACATTTGCCACGATCAAGAGTATTCGAGAAAAACTCGCGCGCCAATGCAGGCAGGAGCATGCGGGCACGTTTTCCTCTGATGAGGAAGACGATGTCAGTCCATTTTTCAACTATGTCGTGCCTATAAACTCCTTGCCGCCAGTCACACTAGTAGCGGCGGTATGCCTGAATGATCAGATCGAAGATGAGTCGATGAACCTTATCCGAAGCCCGCAGCTGCCCGAAAGATCCCACAGTCATCCTGCTGGGCGTTGCTGCTACGTTGAGTTGGATGATGAGGATGAATACCTTATCACCACCACGACTTCTTCTTCGCTTTTGGGAGCAGGAGAAATCGCCAGTAGCCCTAATCAGCCGAGCCGGAGAATCATTCTTGGGGCTCCCTTATATTTTCGCGACGACATCCTACCCTTCTACAGGTTTCTCGTCTTTACGGATGAAGGCAAGCGATTATATCCCGTTTCTGTTGCTCATTTGCAAGACCAGTGCGCCTCATCTTTAAAGCTCGCAAGTAGCGAACGCGCTTCTTCTTGTGCTGGTTTAATGGCATCGTCATCGTGTCGGCAACTAGGGAGCTTCGAAGGTGGAGCTAGCATCGTCCGTCATCTTACAGTAGTTGCGGAAACCTATCGCCTCCTAACAGATATTCCACAGCTTTTGAAGACCAAAGAGGCACACCATTGCGAGGCATATGCAGACAAGTTGTGCGCATTTCGGTGGAATGAGGTTGTGAGTAGTTGCAGACTGATTCTTCCATTTCTGGCGAAGAAATTCGATGCATACAGTCAGCATACGATGATAGAGGCTTCGAAAAGGCCATCACCCTCGCGGATGCACAAGCTTGGGCACTGCGATGTGCATGCAATCATTCAACGCTGTGTGGACGCGAAGACTGGAGTGGTGTCGCCGTTCAATGCGCATAAATTCGATGAGCATGCTGCCTTGTCTTTTTATATTTGCTGCAACGTGAGGCGATTTACGCTGCACCAGGGCCAGGTAGTCACAATGCTGAAAAAGAAGAAACACGAAACCAATATAACAAGGAGAACCAAACCGTTCATGAGTTCTGCAGCACTATGCAAAGGGCCGATTGACTACTTTCGCCGTCTTTTGGGAGCCATGTGGGCTTGCCACACCTTCACTTCCACGGGGAGCAACAAGGTTCCTGAAAAGGCAGCCCAAGGCACCGCTCTGTCGCGGCTGACCGAAGTCCTAAACAGTGTATTTGGCTGTATCCTAAGAACTACATTTTTTGCAAGAGCGGCGCCTCCATCAACGCGGGTCTGGAGCCCAAACGACTTCATATTCCACATTCTACTCCGCTGCATGAAGCCCGTCTCGCATGAGCTCTGGAACAATACCACGATCTCACGAAGTATCCAAGGCAAGCGCTCTTCTGCGACTCGTGTCATCCAAAGCCACTACAATATCGAGCACCACGTCGCTTCACGCTTAGAACTGCGAGCCTGCATGCGGATTACGGAAGAACCTCCGGCGCTGGGTTCGCTCACTCCTGGGGCTGTAGCAATAAAGTCATCCGTTAATCACCAATCGCCCCCTAGTATTTTCAGACCTCATAAGGAAAAGGATGAGAAAAATACGGGCAACAAGCTGAATGCGCCTGCGCATAAAGAGGAGCATGGTAATCACAGGAAAGATCAACTCCTTCCGTGTCTACACTTTCCTGTGCTCGCAATTCCAGACTGCCGATCCATCTTTGTCACCTGCATTGAAGATTGCCTGAACACACGAGCAATAAACTACGCTACACTGTGTCGTCACCTGAGCCAGATACCTGGTGGCGACATAACATGCCGCGAGGTACAGAGTTGGCAACAAATAAGAACTATCTAAGAGCTATGAAGGAGATACCATGTTGTGACATGACATGGCAAGATTTTAATGCCACAACCGGAGTCACTATGCAGTACAATTTTCTGTTATTTCCCTTGCATTTCACAGACACAGTGTTGTTTTTCTTGTTGTCGGTGTCTCAGATTAACGTTAACCCTTTTCAAAGAAATTATTACCTGAACTTCGTTAGCATTACTTCATTTTTCTCGCAATCACAAGCTACTGCCTCCCACAAAATCTCCTCACCAGTTAATTGTGCCTACATCTGTTGAGGAGTGCGCTGGTGGAAATGACTGCCCGATGAAGACGACCAAGAAGCGGGCAAAGAAGCAGAGGTCACCGGATGATGACCATTGCTTTTGTTCCTGTCAAGCAGTGCCAGAAGTGATTCAACGACTGCAGGACTACCATTATGTGCAAATCTTGCCCAATATTTCATATAACAATACCCTCTTACTCTTTCTTGGCGTGTCTACCGCCGCGACGCTTCATCAAGTACACTCCGTCTGAATACGGATGCTACTTACTCAGGATAAAGTGAGAAGGAGTTGCATCACAATCGCCTCGTTTTTAACATCACGCTGTGAACACTGGCAAAAAGCACATGATTAAATTCGTGGTTGTGTTCCAGAAAAAGAAGAATAACAGGATAAGCTTTAAATAAGCATCACTAAGCTTGGTCCGATCATAATAACAACAAATCGCGGCTATCCTTTGGCTTTCTAACGCATTACTTGTTTTCCGCAGCATACCTGGTCTTCCTCTGTGGAAAGCAAGATCGAGTTTTTTATCGCCACGTTGCCTCACGAGGCACAGGGGATGAAAGTGCGCGCTGTGATGGAAACCCTGAAGACCCCGAAACTACGCGATATTCGGAAGCTACTACCGGAAGAAGCGTTAAGCTGGTACTCTGATGAAAACGAGGGCGCTTGTTCTGCGATACTGTTTACGCCGTTACCGGACGTGCCTGCGCTTGTTACTCCAAACGGTGCGACTTGGTATGACAAGGAGGAACTAATGACGCACTTTAGTCAGGGGAGGTCTCGCATCGCCTTGAAAGATCCAACAACAAATATGAGTTTGGCGGAGAAGCTGAAGGCTGCGGGGAAGCGGGCAACGGCTGAGCGCGCGATGAGCGTTCATTTCCTGGACGTTGATTCGATGTTGCAGCGCGTCATGTGTGCCCCCAAGGAGGAGGAACCAGAGTGGTCCTCTTTCTCTGACGATAACGACAAGCGCTATCGACCGGATCACGAGGAGACGCCAAGTGGAACTCCATCTGGTCGTGCCATCAATGTGAACCGGGATATCAAGGATGAAGCTCGTGCAGTGGTATCATCTTTTTATCTACGGAGGAGGGTCATTTGCAGCGATGCCTATCAAGTGCATATCTACGCGCGGGAGCTACTCGACCAAGTAGCGGACGACAAAACGCGTCGTGCAGTTGTTGCTTCTGCTATCAAGAAAGCTGGCGAAAATCTGCGTGAGGCTGCGAGTAGGCAGCAAGCCTCGTCTGGGACTGCTCAAATGGAGAGTAATTCATCTGTTGGACAACATCCTCCACAACGCCCTTTAAGTGCATCAGCTCATGCGATTGGTATCAAGGAGCTTGAAGCTGCAGCTCTGCGCATACTTTCGAATGCAGCGTCCCCTTTGTGCCCTACTCTTTTCTCTTCATCGGAACGAGTTTCAAAACCAGACGTGGATCGACATATAGAGGGACTTTCCTCGTCTTCTTCTTCTTCGAAAAGCACAATCTGCAACAGTAAAAAGACAAATATAACAAAGAATAACGGGCAGCGCATCCGTAGTGCAAAGAAGGAGCTTTTTTTTCACGTTCTGAAACTGCGCCAGAAAGCGAGGAACCTGGCTCGTGCTCGAAAAGAGTTTGGCACGCGTAACGTAAAGCCAAAGCCAAAGTCCCCGAAACTTGTTCCCAAAAATGCTGGACATGCACACGGCAACGGCCCACAAGGATCATCCGCAATATCCGCGTCCGATACACTTCTTCTTGCTGGTCCATGTTCGAGCAGCAGCAGCAGCATTAGTAATCCAAAAGCGAGTGGTACTGGTGACTATGAGCTACAGAAGCCCGCTCCTCCCTCTGAAGATGCACAGAAGCAAGACCGTTCTGCAGAAGACTACAGCGCACAAGCAACAAAAAGGCAACGAAAGGACTTCTAGCGACTTGAAGAAAGACAGCACAGAACCGCAGACGCCAATGGGTGTTGGTGTATTTTGGACGGTACCGATAAAACACTGACACTCCTGTAGTGCTGCAGAGGGTCAGGACGACACGCCACTGTCACTTCTTCATGTTCATTATGATTATTTGTTGGAGTGGAAGATTATGATGCTGGTTTGTTTCAGTTTCGGATTCAGGCGCCGCGTGGCCCCATCTACTATCAATACGAAGCTCCCGTTTTGACCTCATACGAAGGCGAATCGAAAATGAGTGCAGTAGAAGTTTGAAGTCCTTACTTGCCTTGTGTCAGAAATCTCTGTTTTAGTGGAACAAGATGGATTCCCACATTACTTATTTGATTTCCATCCCCAATTGAAGTTGAACCACCTCAAGTCTGCTCAATTTGATTAGAAAGTAGCGTGTGCTCTGATTCTGATGAAAATACCTTGCTAACGCAATGTCTACGCAGAGGACAGACTGTCACGAAGTCCGATGATAGCGTTTTGTGTCCTGTCGAAGAGGAGCGACACTGACCTGTTGTGTTCATCTACTCTACGAGGCCGTCGAAGGTCGCTTTGGTTGCGAGCAGGTAGGACTCCAACAAATGGTTCATAGTCTGCAAGGCACGCTGACAATGACATGGATCTTGGACCACTAGATGATGGAATGATCCATCTGTCTGTCATTGCGTGTAGGATTTGCAACGGCAGTGGTAGAGATGTAGTTGCAAGCCGCGGTTTTTCGCGTCGCTACAGATCTTCCTATTTAATAGATCTACTACGCTGCGTACTGAACGCAGCGTGAGGTGAAAGCGACCCCAGCGTTGCTCACACGCTCCGTGTCCAGAGAAATTAGTTGCAACAAGAGATGCTTCCTATGCTTCCTTAGATTTGCGAATGCAAGCGTATTTTTCTCCACGTCAACTAACATTCACATGCTTACCATTGGAAATCACCTGACTCAAAACTTGCTTCTAGTCAATATTGATCAACAGAACTAGGTGTTAGAGTGAAGATCATCTTCTCTGTGTAAGGTGGCTTTTAAGAGTTGGAAAAAGTAAGACAAAAATTGACATAAGCAAGAAGTTTCTGCTTAGTCTTGAAATAAAGATTTGGCGTTCGTGCTCTGTCTCCGCAGCGTTCCCTTTGTGGAGTTACTTAGTACGTTGGCGTTCCTGGACCTACGTTAACGTTTCTGGACCAATCCTGCTGTCGTCGCCCCACCGAGAAAAGTACGAAAAGGCAGCTGTCGAGGAAATCCGTCGATCCCGTTTTGCCGATTTCTTTCAAGAGGCCACAGAAGTTTCAGGATCCGCCTTGCTCGTCAATACCAAGAAGACCCCAGCAGCAGGACAAGATGTCTGCCCTCAAACGATTTGAAGAGCGATGGCGTACCGGAAAAGGTGGCTCCGGGGTGTCTCAAGAGCACCTTTTCGAATGCCACAAGGCCTTGAAACAACACTTGGAAGCATCTGGTGAACATGTCGACTTGCCGCAGCTCTACTGCATCCTGTTGGGAGATCAAGGTGTGGGAAAGACTACCTTCATGACGCGCTTGACGCAACAGGTATCATCCACTAATGTCTATATCATCCTTTTCACTTCACCAGGCGTTTTTTGCACTGAAAGATATGGAGCCTCTACAGTTAGAATTAGAAAGCTTCATCTTATTAAAGATACAATTTTTGTTCACGTTCATCTTTGTTTCGTGAGAGTGAGACGAGTTTTATTCGATTCGAACATTTGCATCAGAAGACGGGGAATCAGATAGTACGAAGTAGGTTGTTTATTCCAAAGTTGCCAAGAAGTTGATGAAGTTCTGTCGTAATGTGTTATAATGCTTAAAAAGTCATGCCTTTATCTTCGTTGGCGAATTCGTCCTACTTCAAAGATTGACATGTCAAACAACTCCTACAGGTTTGTTTCCCCTTGCGCATGGAGCAAGACCACGATAATCGCAATCCAAATTCCATGAAGCGTGCAGTGAAGACTCCGATTCTGTGCGAGGTTAAAAGTGGCCAGGAAAACGTTGCTTCGCTGACGTGCGGATCCACGCGCAAATTAGATCGTGTCCCAATTTCAGCATTGGCAAATGAGTTGCATAATTAAGGCAATAATGGTTTTTTGCAAATTTTGTCACATGATAGTAGGTGGGCTACGACAAAGAGGGAAAGGTGGGTATGGACCTTAGTTCATACCAAGCGTGTAGGCCTAATTCTAATATACGAACTCATGTATCTTTTAACCTTCGAATCAGCGCCATTTTGAAATCTGTTGCGATGATCATCGTATCCTAGTCGAAGTAGAAGTGGTACTTGATTACATACAAAGCAAACGCTACGTCAAGCACGGAACGGAAGCCACACCTTCTAATAGTAAGACCAGCAACCCGAGGATGCCGCTGCATCCAATTCGCAGGCGAATCAGATCGCGGAGGTTTCGATTCAAACGACACAACCTACGTTTGGTCTCAAGGTCTTGGATACTGTCGGACTTCCTCGTGGAGCTGGTGAGAATCTGGGTGAGGCGGCTGACCTGGCAGAAAAAATAATCAATGCACAGAGAGCGGCTATTGCGAACGAGTTGCTCTCGTCCCAAACACGAGGACGCAAGTTAAGGCCATCATGATGGAAGAGCATAGATACTGAGATTCTCGAAAAAGTTCCAGTACGTTTTGCTGATTATACTAGAGGAGGTGTCGTGCTTTTAGAATTCTTGAGTAATATACTTTGATCTTGATGCTTGTTCTTGATGACCGGGGATTCGCAATTGAGCACCTATCGTTGTACACTACGTGAAAAACAATGAACGTTCAAAGAAACTCGTCTAAGATGGAAGAGCAAGCCAGTGGGCGTCTTGCTACACCGCATCGATGTCCCGATTGAAGAGGCCACGTGGCCCTACTCTCTCGTGGAGAACGGTCTGGCACGTTGTACAACCACTGTTATGGTGAAGTAAAGTAAGTGCACCGCTTCTATTGCCAGCATAGTAAAAAGGAACTGGAAGTGCCTTCTGGCGTTTTTTCGACTCCTCCTGGAATTTCTCACGAACGACGAACTCGAGTGGAAAGTTTTTGTCGGATAGTTTCGTGTTAATCTTCGTCATCGACGTCCAAGTCAATCTACTTTAAAGGTTTATCTTCGATGTCAAAGTCTTTGTGAATGTTGTGGTTGTTTTTGTTATCACGCGACACCTCTAACTCTAGCCAACTGGTGGTGGTGCTGACTCGCGTGGACCAATTGCCGATTGCCCAACTTGTGAAATCTGTTTTGATTCCTGATCCCGACAACGTGCCGGCTCTGAAAAGTGGCCCTCTACCGGTTTCTCCTTATGAGATCGTAGCCGCGTTGCGCCAGTATTTTCTGGACACAGCTGGGCTCCCGCCTCAGACTCAGGTCTTTTTCGTCGGTGGCTTTGGGGGAGATTCGCAGCAGTTGCTGTACGAGGCAGGCGGTTATCAAGGTGGAGGGTATCAACGTACTACTACTAATTCGTCCTCCAACAACGGTGCCCGAGGACCTGGCGCAGCTGCGGGAGCTGGTGGCCCTGCAGCCGACCAACCTGATCAGGAAGACCGCCAATCGATCTTATTTGACTCTTTTCTGAATCACCGAAGCTGGGGAGAGGCCCAAGCAGATGAACGCATGCGTCGCCTGCTCTCGGTGGCGGAACGCGCACGCTGGGAAGAATCAGGATACATTCAGCTACGTGAAAACACGGAACCGGAAAGAGCGCAATTGGGTACTTCTAGTTTTTGGCATCCGCTACTCATTGTAGATTCTAAGATGATGTTGGCAAGAGAAGATGGGTACTGCTGGTGCAGGAGCGCTTACTTGCGTTTTCAGATTGAGCGATAGATACCTTTTCGGACCTGGCCATCGGCATTTCGATATAGAGTGGATCTTCAATCATGCCGATGGATTGACTTCTCCTCGACAATTGATCTAAGTCGTTGATCCGCGTTGCCCTTACCTGAAAATACGCTTACACCATTGATGCAAGCATACTATTCATGTCATTTGACCAAAGCAATCTCAATCCTACTGCTCAGATGGGATGTTGGGGATGGATGCTGTGGTTGCGTACTTGCAGCGCGGTCAACTCGAGGAACCCCGCAAGGTTGCAGCCGCTTGTTTGGCCACTGTCGAGAAAAAGCTGGTCGCGGCCTCTCAATCTCGTCGAACGACTGAGCGTGACTTCCGCGCACAGGAGAAGCACAAGCTGACGGCTGACGTCCAGAATTTGATCAAAGTTATGATAACAGCTCCTGAGCAATTTCACGACCACAAAGACGCTTTTTTTATAAAGTCGTTGTAATTAGATGTAGGCCTCCACCACCTTCACGTGAGTTTGAGATTAAATCTCCAGCACGTCCTCTAAGAAAGATTCCTGTGAGCGTTTTTTCTCGCTTTCGGTTGACGGAGGCTTGAACCCGCAAGACCGCGCCTTCGATTTCTTCGAGAAGATGGAACCCTCTTTAGGTTTTTCCTTGTCCGAGGAACGTCGTATCTGTGAAGTTTTGACTGACAACCTCTTTCCGAACTTCCCGGAGAACGGAAATTACGAATCTCCGCAAATGCTCAACCAGAAGCAGCTACAAGAAGGAAACGATCAGGAACACGACATGTTTGCGGAGCCAACCAGTGCGATCCTGACCCTGAAACCAAGTAACGCGATGTCCAACATTCTCGAAGGTCGACAAGGTCACGGATCAGGAGCAGCTGGTCAGGACACCACCCTTGCCCTCAAGGGTGTTGACAGCACAGACCCCTCGGACAAGTCTGAACCCCCGCATTTGAGTGGCAGAGCGTTGGTTGTCGCACAGAAACAACACCTGTTCACTCAGCTCCGAGAGATTTGCGGTACCGACAACGAGTCTGCCGTTAACGGCAGAAACTATATTTATGAAGAAGCTGTATCCCATATCAGTGCCTGTATTTTTGTTGCTCCTGCTGAAGTTGATCATTGTAATTCAAAAATAATGTCATATGATCAGATTATCGAGATTATGTCGATGTGAATGCAGACAGAAAACTACTTCGAGAACGAACTGCAGCTCGTGAAGTAGACTGTCTCCTTCAATAGATAGTCTCGTACCTGCTCCCCGCGTCTAATGCCTGTTGGATGTTTTGTCCATGCGTTCTTTGCGTGATTACTCATTGATGCTGGCACTGTACCCAAAGCAGACAGTCGACACCCGTCTGTTGCTAAAGCGTGCCATCAAGGGTCCCACTAGTCGCTCCGAAGGCGGAAACGACATCGAGCATGCTCTTGCGCAGCAAACCTACCGCGACTTTGCTGCGGTCTTCTACGGTGACCGCGATCAGGGAGGGGCCAACCTGTATGCGGCCACGCGATTGGCCCTGAACATTTACGTCCAGATGGATGCGGCTGTGAAAACGGTTTGTTTTGATGCAGCTCCGCAAAACGTTGTCCGCACCAGTCGGATGTGCGAATTGCTGGCACGACAGCAGCACGACGGAAACCTGAGCGCGGGTGACTTTGCTGTGCTCGAAGAGCGTGGGAACTCTGTTGGCAGAGGCGGCAATTTGCTTATGCTGCTGGACTATTCATAATGTAGTCGATGGACATGATCAACCCAATTTTAAGTTTTTATCGATGAGGCAGATTTTTTGTAACGGAGCTCATCGTAATTATCAAATGGGCGTATAGACAGAGGTCCACAGCAAAGACTATGTATAACGCCTCACAAGATTATAACCCATTCTCTATCTCTAATTCCCTCTCCGGTGGTTGCGGAGGTTCTGGGTCTGGACACGGACCGGAGTTAATAGGCAATAGGGCTTCGAATGGTCGTGACGCCGCTGCTGTGTTGCGCTCTTGCAACCGCGAAGTGTCCCGTGCTTTGCCATTGGATCTGCAACCACTGCGGACCGCGAATGACGGCCAGGCTCGAACCGAGCGCGGCAAGCAGTATTACCTTCGTCGCGTGCTGCAAGAGCGCGAAGAGATGCGCGATTTCTATGGAGACGCAGACGATTTCTTGGTACAACAGGAAGATCAGGATGACGAACCGTGCTGCACTACAGGACATGGCCTTGATGGTCTCGGTGGAGGTGGACTGAACAAGACTGGAGACAATGTTTCTGCATCTGCGGACAATCATGAAGGCGGTGCATCATCGTGTACTGGCAATGACCTCCCGACTCCATGGGCCGACGTGCGTGCGGTGCTGCATTACTTCTTCTTCTATCGGCCGCGAGAGGAAGTGCGCGCTAGACTGGATGAGGTGACTAGGGGTGTGGGAAAGACGCTCACGCCTCAGGGCTCCCTTTTGTTGCAACACGTTGGCACTTTTTTGTACCAAAATCCGACTTACATGCAAGAATGGTCCGAGCACTACCCGAGAAGTAGCTACTCGCAGCTTTTCGCCGACATTGGCATCTCCGAGCACCAGGATCGCGATGCGGCAGACGCAGGAGCTGAGGGAAGTGGAGATGCACTGGAGGACGAACAAGCCCGCAAAGCGGCCGACCGCGAGGCACGCCGCGAGGCCCGACGACAGCGTGAGCGTGAGCGCATCGCTCAAGAGGCAGAAGCTAACATTACGGCCAAGTAATACAATTAGGCTTTTCTTCTACAACTCGAACTCGTAATCAGTTCTCACTCTTGTTCGCATTTTGAGATAGAATGAATGAGACTATGAGTATGAAAACACTGTGGTACAAGAAGCAAACAAGAAGCAAACAAGGAAGAAGCGATACCCAGGTGGATCTAATTTTTGTAGCGGTGGCGGACGCAACAGCATTGTGAGCGCGCGTGGATCCCGGAGTAAATCGTCGCGTAGTCGCCGCCATTCTACGATTGCAGAGAATGAGTCGGATATTTTCGATGCTGAATCGACCTCCTTGGACAGCAGTGGGCGTGGCGTCGATTCAGAAGCAACCACGGTAGCATCAAGGCCTTCCTCTCGACGCGAACGAGGCCGCTCGGTTGACGGCCTTGGCGAGGACGGAGAATCGACGATAGATGAAAAACGATCCAGTAGGTCGAAGTTATGACAAATCGTTGTTCTCTCCTACGTCTGGGATGAAAACATCAGGATCATGCAACCCTGTCACCTAGTACTGAAAGTACTGTTTTTTATTTTCTGGGCGCACATCTTTTCCTATGAATATACTTAGATGTAATTGATGTACTTCCAATAAGCGCTGTTCCTGCTCGCTTCTTCCTCTAATACCAAGTGCCGGAGCCACCTCTTCGCGCCGTTACTCAACATACCCAGACGTCCTCTGTCCGAACTATTACACTTGGTACAACCAATACGAGCGCAATCGTCCATTCTCGAAGGGTGAGCTGGCTCGTCACGTTGCTGCTGAGAAGGTTATGGCATGGTCCGCTTGTTGTAAGTACTTGAAGGAACTGAGACGACTTCTACTCCATTTCCGGCCTGTAATACTACCGATAACAATCTTCTTTACGTAGTTAATACGAGATCTACCACTAGAACAGAGAAATCATGATCGGAGTGTTCACTCCTCTAAGCACTCTCGTCAACTTGTTACGCCTCGTGATGCGGCTCAAGTGATTGCGCGCGCTTTGACTGCCAACGTGTCACCGTTCCACGTGACACGCCCTGACAATTTGGCGATGCCCAACACTGCAATTGTCGAGGAGCAACCTTTCTCTGAACGCAGTATGTCCTTCGTATACCAGAGAAACCTCTCGGAAGGCATGGTGCAGAGCGTCAACGCAGCGCTCTGGCTGGCAGCGGAGGCCCTCGCGCCTTTCAAATCGCCAGACGCTGGCAAGACACTCGAAAAAATGTGCCAGGAGGGGTACATCTGGGTTATTTAGAAGCTTCATGTTGATCTTGATCCGTCACACTCACGTTTAGGATTCGCTGTAAACTTTTCTTTTACAACCACGACTGCCATTCCTTTTTATTAAGAGGATTTCGTAGTAGTTATAGTTTTCAGTTCTTTCACCTGCTTTAGCTACAAGTTCTCATAATCTTCAGTTTTATGCCAAAATGATACTTATTCCAGGTTGATGTCTTTGTACCTGGGCTACCGTAAGCCCTTGCCTGCAGCGGAGCGACCACACGAGCTGCTGTTTTTGTCTCTTGATGTGGTAATTCCGGTTTTGTACCGCTTTCGCGGTGATCTTTTCGCAATATATGCCAATGACCCGACGGCGACTGCAGAGCATTTTTCATGGTTGAATCTATCACCCGATCACGAAGGCGAATACGACTGCGCGGACTACCAGGACGACCTGGAACAAGATCATGTTGGCGCGGAGCAAGGCCGCGCTGATCACAGTGGAGGAGGTACTTCTTTTGAATTCGTTCTTCCGAGTATACTGATGTAACGATCTGCTGCTTCTGCTAGGTAACAACTATTACTATTACAGCAAGAACAAAACAATGTGAGTAGTTAATGTCAACTCTTTTCCTAGATGAAGAAGGAACGATCGATAGAACTATGACCACTCGATCCTAGAATTACAATTCCTGTTGCACTTGTTCGCAGCTGCTCCCCGCGCGCGCACAAGCTTTTCTTGGTTAGAGCGCAAGGTCTTTTTGAAGAGCCCTCTAGCTGATGCCGTGTTGAGTAAATTCGAGCGCGCGCACACCGACGAGCAGCGACTGCGCATCGTGGACAACATCGAAACCTGGAACGAGTACTTCAATCAGGGTAACCGCGAGGCCTTGCTGGTAGACATGCTGCAACTGTTATCACAGCACCGATACGAGCACGTGAATTCAGCGGAAAAGCTGGAAGAGCGTATGCGGTTGGCACGAAGCGAGGAGTTCTTCTGGAAAAACGTCAAAGACCGCCTTCAGGAATACTCGACGTACCTCTAGAAAAACACTGGTGTTGGTCGTCGCTCACAATTTCACCCACGACTTACCACGTCTTTTCTGGGATAGCCATAGAAGTACTCGTCACAGCAGCGGATGGGGGAGAAAACGGAGGCTTTACTCGTCTTGCGAAAATACTATTCCTTCTCTCTTCTCCTCTCACAGATAGCAGTGGACACTAACAATGTAGCAGTAGCTGGCTTCTTTCGCATCATATGCCGCAAGCAAATATGTATAAATATGGTGAAGATTTTTTTCGTTCTAGAAGCTTCTACTTCATACCGAGAGCAACGAACTGCATGATAATATCATTCCTGAATTACATACTGCATTGTCTCAACATATGCTTATTATGAATGTGTATCCGTCTAAATAAACAGTCTACTAAAATAACATAATGACGTTTACTAGCTCTGCGGCAAGCAATGTTCTTCTATTTCTAACACATATTTTAATATATCTTCATGATCATCACTCAACATTAACATCTTCATTTATCCTCTAACTATCCCAAAAACTATTAACTTCGTCGGTTTGTTCTGAACATGAACAAGACACTTATGTCTATGTGTTTTTCTGTCATTTTCACGTCTTCCTTATCAACATACTTGCGCATAATATGAGCATCACACGCATATCTACGAATGATAGCCTCGCATGAGCAGGGACGGGGTAAAGATGCGATAACTGTAGCGGTTGTGGAAAAAGTACATGTTTAAGTCGAAATTCTCGATTTCGTCGTTGGTTTTCTTTCTTGCTCTGGATTATTGAACCTGAAAGTGATTTAGGTACGTGTACAAAACTCAAAATTACACTCAGCTGCCTTCAAAAATTGCATAATTGCTCTTACTCTTAGTCATAATGATTTCTTCGTATTGCTTGAATCCGATCAACAACATGATATCGTTATGTAAAATCCGTAGTTCAAAATATTCTCTCCATCGAGAAGCTCGAGTTATTGATATCCATTCTCTTCAGAATCTCTTGTACAGATGATCGTCGCATGAATAGAAAAACAAGGGTTGAGAATAAAGTTATAACTATCTTGCGAGAAGACCACGAGAAGTGATTCCTTGCTCGGTAACATCCATAGGCATGTGAATGCGTTGCAGGATACACCATGGAAAGCTGGATCGTTTTTCTTCTAGCGTCTACAGCAGCAAATCATGAAATGCGTGCTATCCTTGCATGAAGGTACTCAAGCGCAGTGAATACCAGAAAGGTGCATTGTGATGCCCCGACAGGGTACAAGTTAGCCCTGGTACGGTACAAGTTGGAAGGAACCTACACAGGATAGTACAGAGAGAAATACTGCGTACTGAGTGCATAACAGAGAGAAGCAGGTCGTTGTGGTCTGAGACGACGGAAACACCTGACAGCAAAGCTTAATTGTGAGAGGAAAGCGTCAAGCGAGAAACAGAGATAGAAAAGCAGAAGTGTCGCAATAGACGGAAGTTGGGGTGTGACTGCCATATCACTTCTGCCCGCTGAAAATTACAAAGAAAATGAATACATCATTGCGATCAGTCTGCAAATTTCACTCGCATCCGCAGCAATCCAATACCGTCAAGAACGGATTGAATTTTTTGAATGATAAGCAGCCGTAAGAACAGTTCTTCGGAGACTTCGTGCGTGGTTGGACTTCGAGCTCGTGCCATGTTGAGACCATGTTGAAGCCCTAACTGAAACTGAATAGTACGTTTGTCGAGGAATCTTCACATGATGCTGATGGTTCGGCGATACCTAGGCGCCTGCGTCTCGCTCAGCAGTGTTTCTCAGGCCAGTGCGGCTTTGAGTCAACAGATGCAGACGCGAGTTCAACATGGTTCTACTCGACTCGGGCGAGAAAGCACTAGTCACGTCGACGCCTCCAGGGTATCACCAAAGTCACAGAGAAGAAAACGCGCTAAAACGAAAGAAGATGATGATCGAGTGATACTAGATCTTCCGAATGACGACGTTGAAGACGCATCTGCAGGTCGACACGCTCATGCATCTTAAGGCTGTACCAACTTTGATTCCTCGTAAAAAAACCATCAAGCAGATCGACCTCAGCAACTCTGTAGGAGAAGCCCGAGCCCTTCCATCCACCTGATTCTTCCCTTGAATTCACTATCCTCCAAGATCTTGCATGCATTGACTGTGTGAGCTCCTCTAATACACCGTCTCATCTGGTGCAGACGCAAATAGATTAGCAGTAGGAGAATCGTCGTCTTCGGTATCAACTTCAACACACGACGACGATATAGATAATGTTGAGGAGGATTCCATGGAAGAAAAGGAGGATGAGCTTGATGCTGATATGACCAAATACTTTCGTGCAGCAAAAGCGGCAAGCGCACTCGCTTCAAGAAGGCGCTCGATTTTCAAGAAGAACGTATAATTATATACCTAACGAACATGTCATGATGATGAGTGTGAGTTATTTTATCCTCGTAGCCCAAATTGGAACTCCTTATTGAATGTAAGAGAACTAGAACCATCTGGGCTTCGACGTCCTCGACGATAACGGGGTAATTGTGCTTTCACCGAAGTGCACGATCGTCTTCTACTTCCAACTTCACATGAAATTTACGTACTATGTTTTCCCTCTTTGTTCAACAGCGCGCTAGGGCTAGCACAGAAGAGGAAGCTGATGAAATGTTAGAAGGCACAGTTGGCTTTTCCCATGTGCGCTCACACGCGAAATCGAAGAAGGAAAAGACAGTGACTAATCCAATGTATGAAGACAGGACTCTTGTTTAGTCCAATGGATGCTGCATGACTACTTTTGAGTAGACATTTGATTTTTTTTGATTTTGTCGTCTTTGTTGTTGATGATCATCATACTCATAACTTGTACAAGCACGAGAGGAAGTAACTACCATTCACCTAGTACATAACTTTCTTACTTGTCGAAATCCCATCCCGATGTATTTGCAAATTCATAAAGACCATCTTAAGTATTTTTGCTCCTTTTCATCTATAGAAGAACGTCTGCGGGACAACAGATACTGGTTCGCAGATTCTAACGGGCGCGGACGGATGCTGCCCGTCCAGTGGCTGGATGAGTGACGAGACCTGTCCATGGCACTGTGTATCCTTATGGCGTAGAAGTTGGGCGTTGTAGTTGTACTTTCTACATAGAGATTATTAAAGTAGAATATAATATGAGTAACTAACAGTAACTACTGTACTAGTTTTCGTTACCCGGACCACCAGCTTGTTGCTTTTGTTCTGTAATATGAACCTCGACGATCACGCGAGCTTTCGCATCTCTCTAAGATGAGTGCAAAAAGCAGGTGGAATTTGCAGTTGTAGTCATTGTTGTGCCGATCGCGCTATCATGAGCGACAACTGCGCAACTTTGGTTGGCTGCGCTTTCGTACTCAATTTGTATTTGTAGTTGATGCTGTTTTTTATCGTGAAGTTCGTTGAAGTTGAACATTGATGTTGGACTTGGATGAAGCTTGAATTTGGAGACGGTCACAGTGAGTCCGCGAGAAGTTTATTATATTTATTCGTCTCATTAGAAGGGAAAATGAGCGTGGATCAAAAGCAAATAACTTTGCTCTTCCCATTTTCCTAATCCTAAACATACACAGGCCCTCGGTCGAGCGAACAACGATACAGCCGGACTTTCTATCGAGAGCAAAAACGCGATATCAGGGTGCCTCCAGTGCGTCGGCGGAGAAAAATACTGCCACACCACGGCCTGTGAAGCCTCATCCGACTATCGGATAAAATTGAACATGCGGATTCCATTATGGTCGTTCTCTCACTCAGTCTCATCTCGGAGCATGTAGCTGTTCTACTTTTCTTAGCAGTTATAGTTTGAGTACTTGTTGTACTAGCTGCGCAAAGGACACTCGTGGACGCTCACGCTCAGCAGGTTGTTCATGGTCTTGTTCTGGTGTTACAACTTCCATCTCGTCTTTCATTTCCATCTACGACTGACGGTGGTGTGTGGGGCGAATACGATGAGTGCGCACCGTTTAACGCGACGGCCAACTCGAACGCTTTTAGCAAGAAATCTAGCATCACATCCGCTACACTTATCCTCGCGACATGGCTCTTGATGTATTTTGGATGGACCTAGACAAACCAGTCTCCAAGAGACGACATGAAGTCCTTTCTCCAAATTACTGGTGTTTAATATTGGTGACACATACGTTTACGTACTAGTATTATTGCTAATTTCGACTATGACTAACAGTAGAAGACTAACATTAGAAGAAATAAATGAACATGTCCATATAGAAATCAATATTAGAAGCACTCACTCTTGGTACAGCAAGTTTTGATATCACCAACTCCGTCTTAGCTAACATTTTTCAGAAAAGTATGATTAAGTAGACACGCAAATATATTAAGGAAGAAGAACCGTGGTAAGGCTCAACAATAACGAAAACTCCTTCAACATTCGATTCTCAAAGCCAACAAAAGAAACTAGCGAATTTTCAAAGCTGCAAGTGTGAAGCAAGCGCAGCCGTTTTTCTAAGGTTAGTGAACTGGTTATTCAAAGTGACTCGAAAAGTGAGAAGGTACTCTACTAAGTCTAACATGATGATCATGATTCCGGTTCCGCTCTTTTTGTGCATAGGTTAGTGATAGTGTCAAAGTCGACCTTCACGGCTGTATCTGTCTGTCGACGCACATCTAATGATCGATGATATCCTCCATACATTCATTTTCAGCTAGAGCTATGCGCATAGCTAAACGTGTCTGGAGTGAAACGATACGATGGGAAAGTAAATTTTTGTGCTGTAATTGAAGCATAAACTATCATACACGACATGTGGATTGATGAGATTGCCGCAAAGCAGATTGTTTAATTTTTGTGGAGCCATGGCGTGTGTGAGTGTGTCCTTCTACTCGCGCAGGCGAAGTTCGGGAGAGGAGTGAGTCCATTTTCTTAGGAAGATGAATTATGAGACTAAGTCTATGTCTTTCATCCATATTGGAATAAACAGCAAGAAAGTACACGGAGAAACAGAAGTAGAAAAGCGCAGGTCCAGGTGAAAGCGTAATTACAAAAAGGGAACCACGACCGCATGGGAAAAAGCGATCGTCAACGAAGAGACCCGAATCTTGACAGCCAATATAGGCATAGAAAATATCATGATTCAGTCTAGAAGAATCTTCAAGATGTTGATAAAGACGATGAGCCAAAAAATTTGCAGTAGTTGCCTTAAGGCTACATCCTCTTCCTGTACATCGTCGCTATTTTTTCGAACCAACAAAGGAATATCCTGAACAAAAAGTCAGAGACACAGGCAGTACCAGTTGTTCTACAAAATAACATCATCTTGAAAACAAGATGAAAGTACTTGCGCTCAGCGAGGAGCACTCTCGGTCCTGTCCAGAGAGGACCGAAGGACCACCGCGCAGGCGGAGCCGGAGCAGAGGAGAGGAAATGTTTTATGACTGTCGTCGCACTTTCGCTTTCCGAATGATGTGCTACTAGGCCCTCGGAGGATGATATGAATTTGTTCACACAAGAAATACGTGGAAGTCGGAAGCTAGTTCGTGTCTACAACCATATCCTCAGCCGTCCTCAAATAAGTGACAGTAAGTTCTAGGAAGTATCGTCAATTGATGAAGATGTTTTAAACTTCAAGGTATTATTCCACCACCACCACTTTGCGTCTACTTTTTTTAAAGTACTAGAGTTTGTTCTAATCGCTCCTGGAACTGAGGGAAAGGAGAGGTATTTTCCGAAGGGAAAAAGGACTTCATGTGCGCAGTAATGAAAGGCATCGGAGAAGACGAGGTCGCAGGCGCGACGTTGAACGCAGTGCAGAACAAAAAAGTGCTTCCTTTTGTAGTGCTGTCGGGAACAGTAGCGGGAATTCATCTTTTCAATCGAGTTTCGGAAGTGAAGTAGTAGAAACGGAGAACGCGATCGCAAATAGACAGGACTCCATCCTGGAAGAGACAATGAATAGTTGGTGTACTAGAAGTAGTAGAGATGAATCTGATGGCGAAGAAGAGATTAGAAGAAGTTCGAGGCATGACCTCGATACAAGTGGAACAAGAGTTTGTTGTGCGGATTCGAGCACGAGATCCCTGCAGTTTCCAGACAACAACTTCTCATCATCTACTACATCTAGTGCTGCTGTGGCGTCATCGTCATCATCTTCTAGTGCTTTCTCCCCTAGTCAGGTCACTTACTGGAGAAGAAAAAGAAGGCATCATGGTTCTAGCTCGACTCTTTCTTGCGGTAAGAGGAGTCCGATGACATACGGACGCGGACGAGCAATTTGGTCAGGCCGACTTTCATCACCGCGAGGATCAGGAAGGCGGGCTCCGTGGTTTTTCTTCATCCCTTCTTTATATATATATTGGACCGCGAGCCTCGTCGGTTTCGTGCACGCTCTACAGGATTACCGTTCCGCATCGAGACGCACGCATGCTTCGCTGACGACACCTCAGCAGACAAGCGATAGTATGAAGGCTCGGACGAGCGGACTGAAAAAAAGGCAGCAGCAGCTTGCCGAGCGAGTTTTACGGTTCTTCGTCTGCTTCTTAGCTTTAGTTTAGCCTAGGCCTCATGCATTATTGCCCCAGTTGAGTGCTTTTCGTGAATAAATATTTGATCTCGAGGTAGGATGGATTCAGATTTTCGAAAGCGAATTATCGTGAGCTCCTCTAAGATCGGCTTCCGGCGCAAAATCAGATCAGTCCGAACTACACGCGAATGACGTGTCGATGGACCTTCGCAGTTCAATTGACGCAAAGATAAAGAAGGGGAACTTTTAAGAGACGAAACTTATTCAAAGCTACAGCAGAAGCGTACTCACCAGGGGAAAAAGTTGAGTGATGATCACAGTGATAGTGGTGCTCTAATGACTCATGCTGCGTACCCAGACTTTTCTCTCTCTCTCTTTCTCTCTCTCTGTCTTGGTTCGCCCCAGTCTATCGCTGTAATGCTTTTGTGCTACTGATTCTGAAGATTCATCTATGTCCTCTAACATGAAGAAACACTCGATGATGGTGTAGATGACAGTCCAAAGACCTTGAAGGCACCGCAGGATCGCAGTCAGGAAGGAGAGTCGGTTGATCCAAAGAGAAAGCCCGCAACAGAGACGAGGACAGATTCAGGCAAAACTTTTAAACACGATAAATATCAACATGGTAGCATAAATGAGGTTCAAGTAGTTGTAGACAATCGAAACGGGGGAGATGAAAGTGAGCTACTAGGAGTAAAGACATCAAGATCAAGTAGAAATGCGAAAGAAGGAGAAAAACGAAGACCGAATGAAACTAAGGAGCACGACCAGAATAAAACTGAAAGCGAGAAGTCTGCTATGTCTGCCTCAAAAACAGAAGGTGGAGACAACACGCAAAGGGAGGAACTTCAGGTACTCTCGTCACAATTTGGACATAGCTGTTGCTTTTTGTATCAAAGCATAGCCCCTTTCTGACCGTACCAGCTTTCATAAGTAGATGCTCTAACGACCAGTGGTTGTAGTGGACTCCCACTGTCGTATTGTCCCTTGTTTGGCTTTACTTGTGGCAGGATACAATTTTTTAACTTGATTGTGGGTTGTGGGAGGGTCGTCAGCACAAGCAGGTTTATGATATGTATTAATTGTAAGTACAAAGTAGTAGGTCTAGTACAAAGTAAGTAGTACAAAGTACAACTATACATCAATAGCTACATAAGAGGCACCATGACATGACAAGAGCAAGCAGTACAGCACGATGAACAAAGAACTAATCTACCTCCAACTCTATGTACTACAACAATTAATCTATCTCGCTCAACGCACAGCTTTCGGAAATGACAAGCCAAGCGACAGACACGAGCGGGGCAAGTTCGCTGCAGCAGTTACAGGTACTTGAAGGTAAAAATAGTTTCTAGGTGGTCATAGTTCTGATGAGATCGATGAGTGCTTGTGCTGACAAAGACAATCTGAGTCTCATCTCATGCTTCTCAATCTCAATGATGGAGTACTCTTTTCAGTTTCTTGTTTGTTTGTTTGTTTGTTTGTTTGTTTGTTTGTTTGTTTGTTTGTTTGTTTGTTTGTTTGTTTGTTTGTTTGTTTGTTTGTTTGTTTGCTTTGATGCGCTTCGGGCGACGCGTACGATCACGCCGGATTTTCAGTTTCTTGAGAGAGTACAAAAAATAATCAAATCTTCGACATCGAAGAGTCGTGTAATCGCAATGTACTATCACAATCAATTTCACTCTGCGTCTGCTCACAACGATTGTTGCGACCTTTCAACAGATGATGAGCGGAATGTGGATGAGAGGCGACGATGAGAAATTGAAATTTAAGGCTTGGTCGGACTCATCTTAGGGAGCGTCTTACATCCGCTACCTAGTTTCCAAGCAAAAGGATAAAAAACGCGCCAAAATTGAGACTCTACGTTTTGGTTTTATTAGGTTCGAACAAAAAGGAATGTATAGCGTAATTCGTTTAAGTAATTCGATTTAACTTTAATGTCCTCTACAACTTTGATATATAATTATTTACTGCACCGACCTTCATATAGTTAAAGACCCTACAATCTAGAACTACAATCATCATTATTTACTGCACCTTGATGTAGTTCATCTAGATGTAGCCGTCATCTACTAGATGTGAATTCATCAGGTCTACTTCTAAGGAGTGTCATGTTACAGTGGCGGATGGTATGGACGAGACCTGGACCAAAGGCAACGGCTGTTGTCCAGAGGTAGTCGTCGTCAAGCCCGAATTCACTCGTGCGGCGGATAAGTGCCCTTTATGCCAATTTGTAATCATCGGTTTCTTTCACTAAAATTCTCATGCAAGAACAAAACTGAGGCCATGTTGCCGGTGAGTAGAATTTTACTTACTTTACCGTCATCCTTTTCCTTCTTGATGTGTGAGTTGTAAGTAGCTTCTACTTTCATTTGGGTATCATTGCGCATATCAATTAGAGCAGGAGGACCCGATCGGCTGTATGTGTCGACACTGCTGTGGGCAGAAAGCAGCTATGCACAACGACTGCGGCACCACAGCTGGTTGCAGAAACGTAATGCTTTGTACGATTTTTGATTCTACTACTGGGATTCAAGTACTTGACATTGATATCTAGACGTTCTAGCTTCAACGAAAATGAATCATGATCCACAGAAAGCCTGTGTCAGACTTCTAAGGAGTGCTCGATCACATGCATCCTCTTGTCGACCATGATGCATCGAGACACTGGCAATTATCCCCTCCCTCTTCCACCTGGTATCCAGATTTTAGACGGCATTCCCGGCGTCAGCAAGAACGATTTCACGGAGGACATTCTAAATTACGTCTAAACTTTCACAATCGTCCTGCATCCGCATGAGTACTCAGAGTAGAATGCAGTCGCGTCTCAGTTGTTTTATAGTTTTCTACTAATCATGGAAAAAGTTGTTTTTCATCTATTGATAATCCTGAATAGATACATACGTCATGATGTGAATAGTGGAAGAAGTGTCTTTTTTATTTACTAGTACCAGCGAACCATGAAAAACAAAAAATAGAGCCCGCGACGCAATGCCTTCGCCTTTTTGCAGGCGATTTTGATTGGCTATTAAGAGACAACGACAAGAATGCACATGCAGCTTCTACGGGAAAAGCAGCATCTTCTAACGAAAGATACTCCATCCCAAGGGCGAGGACCATGCTTGCAAATAAGGCTTATACTGAAATATCTCTATACTAAACAAAGCTTTTAATAATTGATCGCGCCTTGTTAGTTCTGCTTCATCCGCTAGTCACTCGAATACTCAAAGTAAGCAAGTTGTAACAGACACAAGAATAAGAATGACTGAGAAGTGTTTGGACTAATTCTTGTTTTCTCAGCAGGTGTGAGTGCTGTGCGCCGCGTCTTGTGATGAGTCAGCGCGAGGCGTGCCTTGTGAGTTTGGGGCAAGTAGGTGGGGCCAGGGTTCATGTGGCTGCAAAGAAACATGCCAGGGCTGGCTGGGTCGGGAGTGGCTGAGACTCTTGCTGGGCTGTCCCAGAATGAGAACGAAGCCGCGCAGGGTTGCCTTGGGGCTTGCGTGCTCCCTTGCCGCCCGACCTCCTTGCGATTACATGAAGCGGGCGCGGCTGAAGCTGAGCACGTCTTAGCCTTGGGCGGGGGCTGCCGGGCCGCAGGTCGCGCTGCCTCGAGGGTGAAGGAATGAGGCTGCGCCTGGGTTAGGAGCTTGCAGAAACCGCCTGACCGCCTTGAGAGAGCGGGGGCGCGAGATTGTGGCGGCGTGGGTGTGTCTCGACTCGGCAGCGTGCTTGAATGAGTGACGGAGGGGAGAGCGGGCTGGAGGTGTGCTGGGTTAGAGTGGATCGCTCGGGGCAGCTGGGTGGCGTCGCAAATTGAAGCGGGCTGCGCTTGGTTGAGAGAAGGGGGGCGAGATGCGTGCTGCGGCTTTCTCATCTGGAGGGGCAAGGGGCGGCTATGTATGCTGCTCGGGGGCTCGGTTTTGGCTGGTGGTGCTTGTGCAGGGGCTTCGCTTTCTTTCAAACGGGTCGAATTTGTTTCAAAGGGGTCGATTTTATTCAAAGCGTTCGATTTTTTCAATAGGAAGGATTTTGGTCGATTCCTTACAAATCGACCACTACAAGATCCTACAAAAGTCATCCCCAGATGCCTACAAATTGTATCCTTTGAAAGCCTACAAAAAAAATCCATCGCTTTGATCTCTCTCAGTAGTTTTCCCGTTGAATCTTAGGCGTCTGGCCTGCTGCTTCTTTCAAACGCTACGATTTATTCAAACACTACGATTTTTCTTGTTTTCTTTCTTTTTTACGGATGCTAAATTTCAGTTTATCGGATATTTTTCGCTTTCGCAGTGCTGGTTCGTAGGATCAAGAGCGCAGTGGTAGACAACACGAGTCTTGCCGGATTAAAGTTCTTTTTATGATCTAACGTCAGCAATGCGTGGGTGGCCCTGCATATTGCCACACGAAAGCATGCGAGAAGTTAGCGCAGGAAGCTCTACAGGAGCTCCAAAACGCGTATAACGCTGCTGAAGACTATGATGGCGATCCGACTCTGGAAAATGTGATCCCGACCACGTGCAAGTTTTAAGGCTAGTACTAGTAGGTAGGCATGTATTTTTTAGGTACTTAATAGTTGTAGGTATTTATAGAGTAGTTTATAGAACGGATGTAGGATGGACTTGGATGGATCGGATGGACCCCCCTGATTCTTCCGATCCTACTTGAAATGGTGGGAAGTCCATCCGTTCCATCCGATCCATCCGATCCATCCCATCCCGGATCTGGCACCCCTATAAACTGCTCTAGTATTAGTTTAACGCTAGTACGACGACTATGACTATTCTGATCGATTGACGTCCACGTCTCGGTCTCGTGTTGCGTTGTTATTCAAAAACTGAGCTCTTCTATTCAGTTCTTAAAGAGAGCTGTACGTTGCACTAGGATCCTCAATGCCGCGAGCAGATGCGGCGACTACTTGATATGACACGACTGGCATTTAATATATGTTCCACAATCTTCTACTTTACAGTGGCATTATCAATGTGCAAGGCTACTAGAGATTCATGCTATTTTATGAGGACAACTAGAGATAGAAATTCATGTTGTAAAAGTCAAGAGGGTAAGGGCCGCTCTTTGTCATGTTGGTTGGTATCTCGGGCACAACTCAAATGATAATGAGGAGGAAAATTAAAGACAATCACCGCTAATATCACTCCCAGCAATCGAAATATGAGGCTGGTAGCAGCAAGTGTAACGGTGTAGATCGCGCGGTTCACGCTGGTCGAGGAGACGACTGTAAGGTACTTTCTCTGCATTCCTCACTCTGTCGCACTTCTTCTACCTTGATGAACTCATCTTAACTGCTCCTTCTCAATCAAGCTAGTATAATCATGATTGAACGGCTGGTCGTGGAGTCATCCCATCTTCTTCTAGCTTTATTCACGAAGTACTAGGTAAAACAATTAAATATCAAGTGTATGTCAATATCAAAGAGAATCTACAATCGAGTCTTCCTGCTATATAATTCAAATAATGCTCCTCCTCCAATACCAGCTGAATCACGCGGCAGGACTACACGTTAGCAATCAGATGCGCTTTATGTTGCTGGTGACAGGCGTGATACTCTACATTTCTGGTGTTTCCTTGTAAGCTTAAGCTACGGGAGCGAGTACTCTCGGTAGACAACTCGAATCGGAAAGTGCTGTGTGATCGTATCCACACATTCCTAGAAACCCAAAGATTCCATCTACTAAATTAATACAACATGGATCTACAACTCAATGAAAAATACTCTGAATCTAGTTTCGCGTTTCCAATTTCAATCTGAGTTACTCAAAATCTAGTCGCTTGTTACCACTTTCTTTGGTCTGACTCTGAACAAAGACAAAGTGTTCAATACGAAAATTATCCAAACAATTTCATTTGCAAACGCTGCAACCTTGTTCGGACGACTTGGATACCAGAAATTATCTATTTAAGTTTCCAGCAAAGCAAAATCGTTTCTAGATGCACCAAGCAGAAGTACAACTTAGTCTTTTTTGTCCAAGTTATCGTCAGCACAAAAACTTGTCGTTGTCGTATTACTTGTCGTTGTCCTAGAAGAGCTCAACCATTTTTAGTGCCACAAGGTCAAGAAATAAGGATGGTTCAGGTACCCGTACCTCAACCTCTTGATCATGTTATATTTATGCATAGATGAAATATCATGATAGTAGATGCTTTTCTCGTTGGCCTGGTACTAGAAGAAGGACGTTTCCAGCAGAAATTTGGAATTGCACAGATATGAACAGATTTCCAAGAACTGCATGCACTTTCTTCATTTGTTCCATAGCAGAAACCCTCCAAGATGGCGCCAAGATGGCCATTTCTCTTGGAGGGGTCCGGTCGTGGACTCGTGATCGTGATTGTGCTAGAAAAATACCATGCATACGAATTTAGTCATGTTTACACCTAGAAGGTTCTGCTACTCTTCCGCTACAATTGGACCAGCACCAGAGAAGTCTAGAAACAAGGACTCGGCCTTGTCAAAAACCTGTCGACAAGAAATCGTGATCGGGAACAAGAGAGAACTTATTATTTATGAAGACGCCTTTTGCTTTTCCTCCACGAGACCCATCGGTTAGGGGCTATTCCTATTCTTGAGACGAAGAGAATTACCATGCGCGGAGCCATATACTGAAAAAGCAAGTTGTTGGCAATGTGCGAAATAAAACATGCAAAGTATTTCTCACATGATACAGATGGAAGAAAAAGTGGGGAGTTGTAGCAAAATTTTTTACACTGAGTAGACGTGTGTCCTCGAAGTTGCGAGAAATAGTGAGTAGCATAAATGAGGAGAAAGCTACTGTTTAAAAGTGAGTAGCATAAGTGGATGACTGTTTAAAAGTGAGTAGGTTCTGTGTTGGTTAACGGAAGGAAAGGCTGTAGCTAAGTGTTCGCGAACGAAAAAGCTTGACTGAATGAATGAATATATGAATGAAAAAGTGGAAGTACAGAAGGAAGAAGAATGAGGATAGTTGATCGATGTACGCAGGGTTTAAATGAAATGGAGCGGTAACTTGAGCCGCTGAATAGAAAGCGAATACCGAGGTCCAGAGTGATCAGATTAGAGAGATCCGCACTAGGACAAGAGTAGACTTGTTTCATAACTAGACGCGTAGGTCGGAAAAACTAGTTGGCAGTATCTAGCGTTTGCTTAAGTACACGTGTAGGTCGGAAAAACTAGTTGGCAGTATCTAGCGTTTGCTTAAGTACGTAGGCTCGTCCCCGTTCTTTCGTTTTGAAGCAGGAAGGTATACAATAGACGTGTCGGTCCTCGCGTGCGGCTCAAGCGCAGCTCGGTCTTGTAAAGTAGATCCATCCTTTTTCGGTGTTTTCATAGTCGTGAACGCTCACCTCCCCGAGGCGGGCTAATTCCTATCCTATCCTAGAAATAGAATTATGAGAATGGATCACGAAGAAAGGACTTTCTAGTAATCTCAATTTCTAATTCTATAGATTAAAATTCAGCATCTCAATTCGCGACTTCAGATTCCTGCAACAAGAAAGATAGCAGAAGCACTCAGTATTAAACCAAGGCTCGCACGGAGGATCATGGCGCCGCCTCGGCGAAGAGATGCGCGGTCAAAGCAGAGCTTTTTTCGCAGGCATAGATTTTTTCTGGGTGTTGTGGTAGCCACCCACAATGTTAAGGCCCATCCTATAACTTTTTGAGTTGTCAGAATTCCAATTTATTCGGATTGAACAGAAATTTAAATGATGCTGTAGCAGATGAAGATGCATCATCATCCTAAATGAAGCTCTAATGTCCTTGCGGGAGGCCGCATCAAGAGCAGGAGCGCTGTTGCGAAGGCCCCTGTGACGAGACCTCGGGGGCAAGAACTAGAAGCAAGCGAGCAGCGGAAAAAAGTGAAACTCATGCCAAGCACGAGAAATTCACGAGAAAATGAAGAAAATGAAACCGGGCAAGAAGGACATGATGAACAGATAAAAAGTAAGCAAGAAGAAGCAGTGGAAGCAGATGATGACAACAATCCCCGAGCAAACGACGAGGACAAGTCGGTGGAGGAGGACGGCGATGAAGCGATCCCATCGTCACTAGATGAGCAAGAGAACAACAAGAACAACATGAATAAAGAAGGCAGGCATCATCAAGCCAACGAAGATAAAAGGGGTGCGACTGAAGATGATGGCCGGAAAAGCGCGGCCTCTAGAGCGTCAACAGCTGAGTTCAAGAACAAGATCCCCATGTCCTCATTTTCTCGACAAGCAAAGACAGGCAGCTCATCTTCTGCTACTGGGCGAGTTGGAATACGTGGTCATCATCATGCAGTAGACAAAGAAATTGATGCTGTAGAAGAGGACGAAAGGAAAGTAGGCAGGGATGAAGACGACATTGACGAGGACGACCAAGACCAACGAGAAGAAAGTCGGAGAGGGAGACGGAGTAGAACAAAAAGTAGTGTCAGGCATGAAGAACTTCAAGTCCAAGGGGATGGAGACCAAGACGAAGATTCGGAGGACACTACAAAGCGTGGCTCATCGAAATATCAAGTAGGGATGCTAAATGTCGATGAAGAACAGAATATCGACTCACTGGAACAAGGCGACAAGAATGAGCAGGAGGCAGAGGAGCAGGATGAGGAGGAGCAGAAGGAGGGAGAGCAGGAGGTCCACTTTTACTATAATTTTTAATGCCTAGTATCACATACTGCGCGAAGCACTTTGCTCTTGAGAAACAAACAAACTGGAACTGTCCCAACACGTAAGCGGTTTCCTTCTAAAGATGCAATGACTATGACTTGTGAAAAATTGTCCACGTCAAAGTTGTCTTTATATTTGTCATTTCTGCCTTCAAACACAAACAAAATCAGGACGAAGAAAAAGACGCAGAGACTCTGGTATGGCGACACTCCATGGAATCGGACCAGATTAGCAAACTACGTAGTGGGATAGAAACGACCCTGCGAAGCGGTATTTATGACCGGCGTTGATACAATTGGTTAGGGCTCTGCTCAACCTCAATTTCGCAACTCCTAATGAACTGCAGTAAGTATGTTATCGAAGTCCTTGTCATTCAGTGGTGGTGGTCCTTTATCGGACGAAGAGGTTGCCAGCACGACAAAGTGCTTCAACGGGCTCTAAAACATGGATATGGTGCAAAAACGTTTGAGCTCTGGCTCTTCGACGAGCAAGACAGCTTCGGTCCTCGCCAAGCGGGCAACGAATACGACCGTCGACATGAGCAAACAGTGTGGGATAACTGAGAATGGCGGTATCTCAGTAAAGGCCAATGGCTGCTGTCCAGCACTAACGATGAGAGGTGGCGATCGAACAGTAGATCAATGCCCGTTATGAAGTGGGTTTGTTGAAGTATTTATCGCCTAATGCTCAGACCAGGAGAATAAGCATAAAGATGTCGGACGTGGTACCTACTTAGATCAGAATATCCATGAGCAGATACGAATATGTTGAACCTGGTACTGGATGCTCAGCGTGAAAGTAATTGCACAGGGAATGCAGATGCAAGATGTTGTCCGAAAACGCTATCTATCAGTATCGCAAGTGAGATGAAAATAGACGTACCGACTTCTTTAATATTACTATGTCAGAGTAGTTTATAGCACGCATGGTGCATGGAGTAGCATGGAGTGCATGGAGCGCAGAGCTTTAAGGGGCGCAAGAAGCTCCCCCTTTAGCTCCATGCTACTCCATGTGATCCATGCACTCCATGCCATGCGAGCTGCGAAACCTTATAAATTGCTCTGCTATGTTTCTCCCTCTTCATAAACCTGGCATTGTGCGTTCGCGGAAGAGACGGGCCCAGCCGGATCAGATACTGCGTCTTGCAGCTGCAAACACTGTTGTGGAGACCCAGCCGTGGTAGACGATGAATGCGCAACAGTATCCGGATGTGCAACAGTACTAAATAGTTCCCGGCGGATATCTCACTCCTAAGTTGTTGCCTGCATCCAGAAGTTGTGGTGGAGTTGCCACCGATATTGCTTCAACCTATGGTGCATGATCACCATGGTGGATAATCATCATCACTGAAGAGACCAATGATTTGTACAACCTTCAATCTCACCCTCTGTAGTGGTTGAAAGACTCTCTTTACCCTCGAATTTTTCTAGGCTATTGGTCGGGCTGCAAACGATACCAGCGGACTAAAAATCGTAGACAGAGGCGCGGCCTGCAAGCAGTGTGTCGGCGGCGATAAGTACTGCCATACAAACCTACGAGCTTGATAATGTATTGCAAATACTTATAGATACTACTAGTTCTTAGTATGACCATAAGTTACCGCAACGACGAGTAGGATGGATCAGGACAACGAATAAGCCAATGATTAACCACTCTCAATAAATTCCAGTCGCGCAACATACTTTTACTCATATTACGCGCACCACTACCACCACCACCACCACCACTACCACCCAAACAATGTCGGCCTCGTTCCTCTTCGAAGAGGAAGAGCTATCTTCTATAAAATTTTCTAACAATCGGATGCGAAGGGCTCATTGTATTGCCATCGACAGACAACGGCTTCGTGCGTGGACAGTACGAACAGTGCGTGAGCTCCGACGCAAGTATCCGTACAGGAAGCATTTCGGTCTGGATAGCCAGCTCCCTAGCTCTTCTGTGCTCGTTGTATATTTTTTAAGGAGCATCAGAAGCCACCACCAGGCTTTCTTTCATTCTCTCGATTACTTATTCAGATCGACTAAGCTTTTCTTTTTCTCATCATAGAAGTTTTTGCTGCTTTTGAGTAGTACTTTCAGTTTCACGCACACACACATGATAAAGTAAATTCGCGCACCAAGAGGTATACAAATCTAATGACTGCAAGTCCATATTTGTTTTCGTGATAGATTCTACCTGTGGCATAGGCACCAGATAAATTGATGTACTCCTCGTATATTCATCCTGATGATTGTGATCACTTATTCCAATACTAGGACTACTAGCATCTTCCCCGTAAAAGTCCGAGCCATGATATAACTACGAAAGAAGCTAAAAAAAGCGACAATCAAAAAGTTCCACCGGGCACATGCATCATGTACATCTCTTTCATTGTTAATGTTGACGTTCAATCTGACTCTGAAAGAAAAAGAATATGTTGGATCGATAGTTGTAGAGAATGGGCATAGTGTGAACATCGTACTAGTCTTGAATTATAGCTAGACACCAGCACTTGAACTAACGCTCACCAGCCATTGTTCCTGATATATTTTTTTGTACTTTATAGCGGCCGTAGAGCCGTGGACCTTCAACTTTGAACCTTGTTGATGTGAGTGAGAGGACGAGATGGAGAGCGATTGGGCCATGAAGAATGCGTCGTACACGAACAAGAGAATCAGAGTGTCTAAAAGCTTCCCACATATTATACACCGCTGTAGTTCTCAACACTGTCTGCAAATGGAAGATGTTGCTCTCATTTTTTACTTGATATTTACCCATGCTTTTGAATGATTTCCGATTTATTAAGTACTTGCTTACTTCTCTTGTTCTTGATGCTGTACTACTAGTATCAAGAAATCAGCAAGATGAAGATATTGGATTGCAACACTGGATATGGATTTTGTTTACCCATTCATATTCAGGGAACAGTCAGTGTCAGGAGAAGACTCAAGATAAGTGTAGAAATGCAGGAGTCTCGACTCCGGTGGGAAGGGAGGCAAGTGCCTCTGAGAGGACAAACGCCCGCCCCTGGTGGGACAAGATGCCGCCACCTCTGAGAAGGAGCGCGGCCATTACGCGCCTAGCCCCAGGCGGGACACAATGAGGCGCCGTAGCACTTTGAAAGAAGTGCGCCGCGATTGGTGCGCAGCATGGGGGAGGCTTGGATGCATGTGCCTACTACGGAGATACTGGGGTAGCGCCTACTGGCGTGGCTGTTGGTTATCCCTCCTGAGATGCAAGAGAACGAAAGAGGCACGGCCAGCCCGGGGAGTCTTTCTCCATTGCGTGCCAGGGCTTTCGCCCTTCTGATGAGATGAGCCGCCAACGGCACAGCACGCAGGAGAGGGGGGCGTGTTGGCTTCTGTGGTCCTTGTCTTCGGGGTTTTCAAGGTCAAGCGAGCAAGGCAAAAGGGCAAGGCCATGGCTGCGAAGCTGTGAGGAGGTTCGGCGGGCTGGTTGGCTGCCTTGGTGTGGTTGCTTTCTAGGCCCGTGCCGTGTGGTACGCGCGGCCTGGTTGCTCGCCTCGCCCTTGTCGAGATCTGTCCGCCCCCCTCCACCTTCTTCTCTTTTCGTTCTTCCCTCCTGGCCTCGTTTGTACGTAGTCGAAGTTGTGGAGGAGGGTTAACCCTAGCCACGGACCCGCGCACCGGTCGCCAGTGTGCAGCCCCAGGCGGGCAGACAACGCACCAGCTTCGCACTTCTTGTTCTTGGCGCTGCTACTTTTCTGGTGTCTGATCGCCCGGCCCGGGCGGCTGGGTTGAGGATGCCTAAGGCGGACTGGGTCGCTTCAAGTTGGGCCTCTCACTCTGGCGAACACTTGCCGCCGACTCCCCTGGTGGAGATCCCCGCCCGCGCCAGTCTGGAACGCGCGCGAGCGTGACGGCAAGGCCTCCGGCCTGGCCTCAAGTTCCCCTGCATACTGAACACGGGCGAAGGCGCAGCGTGTTGATGCGTGCCTTTCTAAGTGTACACACACTCCCGCAACTCCGCCAAAGTCTTTATCTTATGCAACGGAATCAAGGCTGAGCCCTTGCATCTATACAAACAAGCAAGTACGACTTATAGTTCCAGTTTTTTTCGAATAATTCCAAACTACAAAGTAGAAGGATTTGTAAGATCAAAAGGCTCTAGTAGTTCAACATCTTTCGTTTATTCTAAATTTGACTTTATTTGTTACGTGTAGACAGTGACAGAGGCCCCTCGTCGCGGAGGTATTTGTATAATTAGTGGTAAGAAGTTCAATCATCTCGTTTCATTGTGGACAAATTACCTAGTCTAAAGGTATTAAAGTTAAACACGTGTGTCAGTGCATCAAAGAAAATGAGAGTTTTCTTCATAATCTAAGTCTATATCTTCAAAAATCAAAGGCATGTTAACTGTTCTTCCGTTCCACCACTAGTTTCATCTATTTGCAAGAGGCTTGTCAATCTAGTAGCGTTCTTGATCATGTTCATGTTTATGTATACCAAGTCGTTGCAGTTCGTTGTAGAGCTATAATCACTGTCAAGCAAAAGCACTTATTCTTATTCATCATTTTAAATTTGTGACAAGAAATTCAGTCCGAGTTGACCCCTACTTTTAGACATTCCAAAACAAGACTAACTCTCAGACCCATTAAGGATATCTATCTTATCTCGAGCTATTAAGTAACTCTAACTGTTACGAATCTCGATCTCCTCCACAGTTGTCCTTTTTATCCTTACAACAACCCGAGAAAATGGATCAATCTTCTCCAGCTAAGCGTCGTAGCGGTTTGGCCTGTTGTGCGGGTGGTCCGCCTGGCGCTGCAGAACTTGGCGATGCAGCTGCGCCTCAAGAAAAGAAAAGCGCATCCATTGCTAGCGACAGCGTCAATCCTTTCGCTGGAAAATGCAAGCGAACCCTGGAAAACGGAAAGGCTTATTTTATGGCAGAATGAGAATGAAAAAGTAAATGATCTTGATCATGGTCATGATCATGAAAAGAAGTAAAGCAGAAATATAGTAATGGAGATTCTTTTGTAGTCAGATGCAAGCAGAGGCTATTTTGTAGCGTAGTCATGTGCCAGAGCAGTTCACGTGTGCTAGTCGCGGTCATGTGCTCATGTTTTTACTAGAATAGGCTTTTTCGAAATTATGCCCAGAAAATTGACGTTTGGTGGTGAGGCTTCTAGTTCTAGACACGACGACCACCTAAAAACACTACTGAAGAACTTCCGTATCCCCACTCCAATCTTAACTCGATGCCCGCATTGAATGACGAACGAGTGGCGCGCTTACCGTACTCGATCCGTATACTTCTCGAGTCGGCTCTTCGCAACTGCGACGAGTTTGCAGTGAAGCAGGGTGATGTGGAAAATATTTTGGATTGGGAAAACACATCCAAAAATGCGCAAGAAATACCTTTCAAACCCGCGCGAGTCCTCTTGCAGGATTTCACTGGTGTCCCAGCCGTCGTGGACTTTGCTGCCATGCGTGACGCGATGGCGCGTCTTGGAGGTGACCCAGGCAAAATCAACCCGCTAGTGCCGGCCGATTTGGTAACCCTAACCTTATCTCCTAAACAAAGTACAATTAGTGCACCAGATGAACCAGAACCACTCACATTGAATCCAACTCGTCGAAACCAAACCAAGAACATCAATTTGTAACCTAGAAACAATTAATTTTAGTATGAGGACTAGTACGTCAACCTCTACTACTCGTCACAGGTAATCGATCACTCAGTTCAAGTTGACGTGAGCCGAGACGCGACAGCACTTGAGAAGAATCAGGAAATCGAGTTTATAAGGAACAAGGAACGATTTGCATTCCTCAAATGGGGTACTTAACAATTACAATGATGCATAGATTCAAATTTGATTTGCATTTCTGCAAAGTTTGTTGTAAGTACCTGTATGTTGGGGTGCCAACAAAGTTTAATCAAGTAAACACTTAAGTAGTTACTAAAAGTTAAGATGCTCTAGACAGTGTAGTTGCGTTGGATCGCGGAGATCAGGTGCTGCCGGAGCGTGTAAGTACGTCATTCTAACGTCTAACTAATGGTTTGCGTTCTCTACCCAGCGTTGAGAGCTAGGAATTACGTAAACTTATGAACAAACGGACGCGCTTGTGGAGGAGGTCAGAATTTAGGGAAAGTTAGGGGATATTATGGTTCCCTAATTTTCCCTAAAATTCGTATGTGGGTTTAAGCGTGTCCGTTTGTTTCTAATAAACTTAAGTAGGTTTTTACATGAATAACTCAACATGTTTTTAATCTTCCATGCACAGGTGCCCAGGCCTTCCAGAACATGACGATTGTGCCTCCGGGAAGTGGCATTGTGCATCAGGTTAACCTCGAGTATCTGGCTCGCGTGGTCTTTGATGACTGCGACACGTTGTATCCGGATTCGCTTGTAGGTACCGATTCGCATACCACCATGATTGACGGCTTAGGCATTGCTGGTTGGGGCGTCGGAGGGATTGAGGCTGAGGCGGTGATGCTTGGCCAGGCTATCAGCATGGTTTTGCCCGAGGTCGTCGGTTTCAAATTCACCGGAGAATTAAAGAGCACCGTCGTCGCCACGGATTTGGTGATCACATGCGTTGCCATGCTCCGCAAACAGGGGGTCGTCGGGAAATTTGTGGAATTCTTCGGCCCAGGCTGTGCCTCTCTCACGTTGGCGGACCGCGCGACCATCGCAAACATGGCCCCGGAGTACGGCGCGACTATGGGCTTCTTCCCGGTTGACGACCAGAGTCTGGTGTACCTGCGACAGACAGGGCGTAGCGAAGAGAAGATCCAAATGATCGAACAGTTAAGGCTTTTACTGCTAATTCCTCACCTCTCCTCTAAGGAGATCATGATCCCTCACTAGCAGCTGGCATATACAGACTCGAGCATTATGCATAGGTTAGTGTAGTGCAGGAGATAAAAATAGGTGGCACAGGAAGAGGGATATTAATATGGCACAGTGATGGATTTGGGATAGCTCTAAAACAGTACCTCAGAGCCCAAGGCATGTTCCGAACCTACGGCCCAGAAGAGGTAATAAAATATGAACATTGAGATTCACTAAACTACTGGAGGTGGTCTATCATAGATGACGTCGCGATGGTCACTGTGTGATGTAGATGTAGTATCATGGACGATTATTTTTAGAGTGAGTCTTAGCTTAACCATGATAAATACTGCCACTTCTTAAATATTCTGTAATCGGGACTGTTTCGTCTCATGAATGTGAAACTTTTTTGACTATCTAAGGTTTACCTGCATATTCTGTTTATTCTTCAGTGTCAGTTACAGTTAACCGGTAAATTTGCGCTCCAATAGGAGGCACTTATTTACTGGGTGACCTCATAGGTAGACATGCACAGCTACAAGCGAGGTTCCATGACATGACATGACAACTCAACAGGATTCGATTGTTTACACGACCGTTATGGAGCTGGATCTTTCTACGGTGGTTCCGTGTCTCTCGGGTCCGAAGCGTCCTCACGACCGCGTTGCTTTGACTGATATGCCGTCCGATTTCTCGAAGTGCCTCACCAATGCCGTCGGTTTCAAGGGATTTGGCTTGAAGGAGGATGTGCTCGGAGACACGGCGAGTTTTTCGTACGAGAACAAGCCAGACGAGCAATTCACAATCGGACACGGAAGCGTAGTTCTGTGCGCCATCACCTCGTGCACGAACACCAGCAACCCGGGAGTCATGCTTGGAGCGGCTTTGCTAGCGAAAGCGGCTTTCGAGAAGGGACTAAGAGTCAACCGCTACATCAAAACAAGCCTATCGCCAGGATCGGGAGTTGTGGACTCGTACCATTACTACCCTCAAATTTGAGAAGAAGAATTTTACAGTCTTCTTCTTCTTCAGCACTTTATAAAATATATATGTCCTTATCGTCTTTGTTGTGGGCGGAGACTCAGTCTTTTCGAAGTAAGTACAGGTTTCTTGGTTACTGTTATTCCAGATCACAATTAATGATGTCAAATCATGAAAACATCTCGACATCACGAAGGCTACAAAACCAAAAGACAAAAAAACGAACCCCACCAGGTATCTGAAGGATGCCGGTTTGCTCCCCTATTTCGAGCAACTAGGATTTTACACTACTGGTTTCGGCTGCCAATCTTGCATTGGAAACTCAGGCGAGCTCGACGAGGAACTCACTGCTGCTATCACTTCAAAGGACCTCGTTGTGGGTGCTGTTCTTAGCGGAAACCGCAACTTCGAGGGTCGAGTGCACCCGCTCACGCGTGCGAACTACCTGGCCAGTCCGCCTCTGGTGGTGGCCTACGCACTGGCCGGTCGATTAGACATCGACTTTGAAAAGGAGCCGATCGGAAAAGACGCAGAGGGCAAGGAGGTCTTCCTCTCCGAAATCTGGCCTGCACGAAAACTAGTGGAAGACACTGAGAAAAAATGCGTGCAACCAGAGATGTTCAAGGAAGTCTATGCACGTATCCAATAAATTGATCTTTGAGTCTGTTCTTGCTGAAGACCTGTCTCACTGCACTTCTACTTAGTTTGACTCCAGTTGTGGTGCAAGAAAGAAATCTGTATTAACAGAAGTAAAAAAGATGAATTTGAAAACCTCTCTAGGTATGGAACGTGGTACAGACCGGTGGAACTCGTTGGATGTTGCAACTGGTTCGCAATTCCAGTGGGACGAGAGCAGCACCTACATTCACAATCCGCCCTTCTTCCAGAAGACAGAAAGTTAAGATGTCGAAAAGTTTTCGGGTGTTAGTGTTTACATATCTGTCAACCAAAAATGACATGATCACGGACAAGTTACTGTACTGGTAGATGATAACAAAGTAGAAGTACAACCTTGTTTTGACGAGCAACAGCCCCGTCCTGTTCCTCGGTCAGCAGAGGTAGTACCTCAACACCTCTAAGAAAGGAAGCCTACTGCAGTTACGAAATTGGAGAAGGCGTATTGTCTGCTGAATTGCGGCGATTCTATCACTACGGACCACATCTCACCTGCAGGCAAGATCACGAAGAACAGCCCTGGTGGTCGCTACTTGATGGCGCGTGGAGTCGATCCCACTGATTTCAATAGCTACGGTTCGAGACGCGGGAACGATGAAGTCATGTTATGACTGTTGGCTTGACTACACGAAGTCTCCTTTTCCTCGATGAAACGGATTAGCTCACTGCGTATTTGCAAACTCTAACCTCGTCTCCGCCTCGTTCTCACTTTTATATATAATCGTCTTTACTTCTAGAATCTCAGGTCTTGACAGGACTGGAATGTTGTTTTTTACGAGTCCACGTCGATGTGCTACTCAATCTTTTTCTCTAATCTTCGCTCGAGGAACCTTTGCGAATATTCGCTTGATCAATAAGCTAGCAGGTAAGACGGGCCCGCAAACTCTGCACGTCCCGAGCAATGAAATTTTAGACGTCTATGATGCCGCGGAAAGATACATGGAGGCAGGCAATGGGACGATCATCATGGCTGGCCAAGAATACGGATCCGGAAGCTCCAGAGACTGGGCAGCAAAAGTTATGAAATGATGTCTATCTTCCTTCTTTTTCTAGTATTGATTTTGATATTCTGTCAACGTCTTCAATGCGTTACTGTGTTTGGTTCTAGAAGGAAAATCCTTCCATGCATGCCGCTTTTATTAGACGAAGTATATAACAAATGAATCGTGCAAGAATGGTTAGACCACCGAGAATTCCTCTAAGAAGCGACCTTTTTTGCAGGGTGTGAAAGCCGTGATAGCTCAATCCTACGAACGCATCCACCGAAGCAACCTAGTTGGAATGGGTATGCAGTTTAGAAGGAAGATACCGACATCAACAAAGGACTAGTAAAAGGCCCACTCTTTCTTTGTAATCTCGAAACCTGTGCCGTTCCGGATCCGGCTTAATAAGACTAGTACTCTCATCGCATCGTACTACTGGTGCTCCTAATGCCAACTATGGGATGTTTCACTTCCTTCAATACTTCGTTCAGGTATTCTGCCCTTGGAATTTAAGAATGGTGAAAATGCCGACTCCCTGGGTCTCACAGGCACGGAGCAGTTTACCATTGACTTGCCAGCAGCCTTGGAATCGACAAACAAGGACATCGAAGTCGTCTGTGATATTATGTCATTGATGCTCATGCTTCCACTTTCTTTTTCCATCTTCCATCTCGATCTCATCAATGTCGTCTGACGTCTCAGTTTTCCTATGGCTAAGGTAAAAAAAGAAACAGAACAAAAAAGAGACAGAGGACCGAGATGAACAATTAGGAGATGTTGATGTGGGTTGAAGTAGGCGGAAGTGAAGAATTACTTTACTCTAAGAAACCCACCGGAACGAGTTTCGTGGTACGAAGCCGTCTCGATACTGATCCAGAGCTGAAGTACTTCGAGAATGGAGGCATCCTCAACTACGTCCTGCGTAAGATTCTTTGAAGAGGGCGGCGTCCCCTCTTCGAGTCTCTTGACGCACACGGAAAAGCAATCAGGTTTTTTTAGAGCCGTACAGGACATGCACAGACCTGATGGTGCATTTGATAAGAAAGTCTCTCATATCAAACATAAAGCAGCTTCTGAAGATATTTGTTTATTTACTTATAGATATAGTTTTCCTTCTATTATAATTAATCTTGTCAGTGATGTTATTCGTGAAAAGCATGCTGTCTTTATACTAACTGTTTTTGGAGTATCCATATCTATCTTTTGATGCTAAAGGCTAAGCCGTTTTATTTCCAGCATCGTGCGTAAAAAATTTTCGAATACCTAAGCCAGACAGACGGATGACTTAAATCCACTTAACTCTATACATCTGCGATTCAGTGATAAGAAACATATACCACAGTAATCAGAATCATGCGTTTCCATATGAGACTTTTATGTCTTTGCTGCGTTTTTCCATCTTTCCCATTCCCTCTGCATCTATCCCTACCCCTCCCCGGCATGATTACAAAAGTAAAAAGCGATTCTCTCTATTCTCCAAGGAGAGAGATGATAGAGAGTAGCGAATGGCAATATACTTACCGAAAATAGAAAATTAGTACCTACAACCTATCAACAGAAGAAAGAAGTTTACTGGATACTCATACTGGAGAGTTACAGTTTCTTCGTCCCTGGCTTAGCTTTCTAGTAGTGCACAGATGTAGCACAGTACCTCTAACGATGCAGAGTGGTAGCTCAACATATTGCTACACCGCGCATCACGAAGCACGTGCCACGTTAGTTCTTTCCTGCGACAGTCACCACTATTGAATACTTAGATGTCTTTCACTTTTTGCTTTTTATAGCTCCATATGAGTGTTTGTCCGAAGTGAAAAGTGCTGCTTGGATAGACTCTCATCCCTCGAGTTCAAGTATTCCCTTAGACTTTTTTTATCTAGCATGCCCCACCATGCTCGTCAGCTACTTAGATTGATTAACTCATTCGTTTTTCTGAAGAGAAACCGACTGAGAGTCGTGACAACACTCATTCCGATTCCTCCGATAGATTTTCAACTTTTTTTTACAAACAAATTTTAATTTATTATGCATCGTGTGCGTTTCAATTTGTGTAAGTGTAAAACTCAAGAAATTCGGAAAATAGTTCTAGCAGTCATCATGTTCGGTACCGGTATTGGACACGATGGTATATTACAACTTCTTAGAGATTTTGACTCTCGAATCTTAATTCAGTACTAGTTCCAGTTGAAGAAAGAGGAGCAGGGTAAATATATGTGCAAATTCAAGCTGGTGGAACCAAAACTAAAAGTTATTGTAGATAAGATTATCGACCGGAAAATATCGTAGATATGGTTGTCCATGATCTCACATGATCGAAAACAAAATGCTTTCACAATGGCATCTTTGTATGTCTATCGAGCCTGGTGTCGGACGATGATCCATCATGGCAAAAACTCTGAAACTACCAGTCTTCCTCTTCGGAGGACGAGAACGAGCAGATGGTCCGATTATTATAAATATATATTGATTTTAGTACATCTTCTTAGAGACTGGTGGTACTAGTTCATCTAGTACTAAGTAGAAGCAAGCTCAACAGCTTGGGAGAAGCTCCGGGTTGGTTCGAATCCTGAATAAATCAGGCAAGATCCGTGTAAATGGTGGTGACGAGGGTCTGTCTTGGCCAAGAGCGTCATAAATTGCGTCTCTCCCCAAGGAAGTACCATCATGCATGCGAATCTGTTGTGAGAGATTTGATATGCTTTGAACTCGTCTAAGACTAGCAGGAATTACCTTTGCCCTTATTTCTGTCCTTTTTCTCACTCTGGATCGATGGTCATGGGCATGGCGTTTGGGTAGCATTTTTGAATGTCGTTGTTCATCAGGTCGGTCACTCAGAAGAGAGGGATCAACATGCCGCTCACTTATAAAGAGAAGTAGCCACTTGTTTATCTCCACTAATTATCCTTTCTAGCCCCGTACACCGAGTATGTAAAGCTTGTTGTTCATAAATAGGTCAACTTCAAACTAAGAGGAAGTACGAATATTTTGCTAGTCGTCCTGAGTTTTTTAATGGACATGTCCATGAGGGTGGTTGATCATCTACAAACAAACGTAAGAACTTCCAAGCTATGGCTTTCCTCGTGGAGTAGTTTCTCGCCTTGTGTGTTTCTCTAGTAGCTCGCATGTGCCATGTTGCCTTTATCATTTTTTCAGAAGCTGTTCGAGCAGTCCCAAGCAATCTTTGTCCAAGATTATGCCCTTCCCCAGGAATTTTGCTTTCTCCATCTGACTTTTTTGCTCAGTAGATAGATTATGTTGAGTGCTCTTATTATGTTATGTTGATTGGTCTTGTACTAGCTAGTTCCTCTAGCTATTGTCTGTCTGTCTCCTCAGATTACTCGTACGACGTTCATGAATCCAAATGTTTAACCTTGCTCTTTTTACTAGCCTATGAAGATATGATTTACACTCACAGGAGTACCTACGTCGACGTAGAAGACGCGCCGTCCTTGTTATGATATCTACTGAGGTGAACAATTCTTCAGCGTAAAATGCGTAGGACAGTGCTTCTCATCATCAGGATACGTTGATCCCAATCCCGTAAGTATGGCTCTGCGTCCGTGTTCTTGAAGATGCTGTTCCTTTCTACCAAATGCGTACTACGAACCAAGCAGCGTCTTGAATGGGGGAGAAGAACAGTTACCACTCGTCGCCGCAGAGCCACAATCTGGAGTAGGGATCGAATAAGCTGCTAGTGCGAGCTCCGGTTTCAGCAAAACCCGAGATGAAGTAGGCACTCGTACTGCGTGGTTTGTTGATGTTCCCCTCGTCTAGCAGTCGAGCAAGACGTCCGTAACGAAATACTTGAGTGTACATTAAGTTCTTTGATTCGTATTCGACAAGTTCGACCGCTTGCGTCGCGTGGTTCCTCTCAAGCTCGTCTCGCGTGGAGGTTCAACGATCTTTAGTTGTACAACGTGCGATGTCCTTTGATGAGACTGAGGACTCAAACAAGACCTTGTTGTACTGTAAACGTAAAGAAGATGGCTGCACCGCCAGCCAGTCTCCTCCACCTGGAGGACCTTGCTGCTCTCATTGCACCCACCTCTACTTCAGCCGGTCACTCTAGCAATCGAATCAAGCAGGCTAGTCAGGTTCCTCTCAGAACATACCTGCGCATTCGTTCTTGCGCCAGCGGAAAAGAACGAGTCCTCGAAGCTTCTCCTGGCAGCACTGAAGATGGACTATCGATAAGTCGAGTGAAACTTATGAATATATGGGTCTTCCGGTGTTTTTTGTAAGACCGATGAACAAGACACATGTCAAAGAACAAGCAAAAAATACATCACTCGAGAATGAAGCGACCGAGAAGTACATATATTTGTAGATTCTTATGCTACTATGAACGTGAAGGAGCTGAAGAGCACAACAAGATGCGTTATTTCAATCATATCCTTCACCAGCTTCTATCCCTCTAAGGCATACGGAGGCAATAGGGGACAACAGGTCGTGGAGGCTGAAGGGTGCGAGTATGCTTTCGACCATGTGCTTGATGAGCGTGACGACGATGAGCAGGATTCGTCCGCGAAAGTCGAGGTACATTTAATAATATTGATATCCATGATATCTACAACTCTTATAATTAAGTATATCATAGTACCCGGATCCGGAACGGAGGGGTAATGTTTGTGGTTTGTCATTATTCTTCGATTCGGCGCACCAGACCAAAAATCATCTTTCTAACCATGAGAAAAGCAAGCCAAGAGAATCTGTGCGTCTTCAGGTATTTACGAATTCCATGGTAGGGCCGATGCTGGACGCTGCAGCGCGAAAGGGTCAGAATGTTACGGTGTTCACCTACGGAGGTGTGCGCAGCGGCAAAAGCACTACTCTCTACGGATGTCTCATACCTGGCTTCTTTTCTCAATTTTTCGACGAACTATCATCAGCCAGTGCCACTACGTCGTGGCATGTAAAGTGTAGCTTCTTCGAGCTCCGCGGCGATGACGATATAAGAGATCTACTTCCCAGTAAGAGTAACGAAGACCAAGACACAGGAGATCAAGAACATGTCAAAAATGTCACATCCGATGTCTACAACTCGGCTGCGACACCAGGAACTAGGTCTAGTACAGGGGAGCGATCATCGCAAGCGTCGAATTGTGTGCGCTATCAGCCTCGACTAGGTGTAGCAGTTGAAGGAATTTCCTCCTACGAGGTCACAGGAATCGCAGATATTCAGCGCATTCTCGACTTCGGCATGAAAACCAGGGCACTGGCAGCCGGTGGACGTGGAGACGTCGGGCACTGTTGTCTGAGCTTCCTCATCCAGAGACTCGCTCCAAGTTTGACGAGGTCTGAGTCTGATCAGCATTTTCATCTCGGTAGAAACGATCATGCGTTGCAAGTTTCTACCGTTAACTTCTGGGATCTGGCTGGACATAATTTTTCCCTAGGCCCTCTATCTGGAGAGAACGGTGGTCTGGCGCACCTCGGAGAGTGCGTTCGAGAGCTTCCGGGATACAAGCATCAGGGGTTATTCCTCGCAACAAAGACTCAACAGGGACTTGTGACCCCAAATTCAGTGGGTTCATGTTCCCCGACGTCGCCAATGCGAGACTACCTGCCGACCTTTGGGGAGCCACCGCCTCTGCCTGGACGCAAATCGGCGAAATACAATGACGTGGCGGGACGAACGAGCACAACCACTTCAAGCGCAGCTACAACGAAGACGCCGAAAAAAGAAGGCTCAGGCAACACCAAGAAGGATCAGAAGCAAAATATCGCTGCCCCTCGTACACCACAAGAGGACAAAGATCAGACTCCTCCTTTTCCGCAAGACAACAGCGAAAATTTCCTACCTTCATATCGCTCTTCTACGTTGAGCATGCTGCTAGCTCACGCATTGTCGGGAAATTCAGCGACATTCGTCGTGACGACGGTCGCACAGGAGGATAACGCGGAGGGTTCTGCAGCAGCGCAGACACTCGACACCCTCGTTAAGGCTCTAATGATATTAGCACTTATCTTTCTAGGACTTGGACTCAGCATCAACACCAACATACTTACACTATTCCCTTCGGCTTTATATTGTTTCTCTCCTCTGTGAGCTTTATCTAAGAAACACTTCGCACGCAGCTGTCGCAAGTTGGGGAGCAACCGCGTCTGGTGCAATGCTGTGCGGGATCAGCAACTGGATCGAGAGCAGCTACTGGACCGACTGCTCAAGGATGTGCGAACTCATGAGCGAACACTGCAGCGTGGTGGCAGCGGCGGCCGAGTCACGAACGACCATCTCTTGTTCGCGCAGCTTTTGGCAGCTGATATTATAGCGGTAGCAGAACGAAATCTCGAAGAAGATAGTCATACTAGTGCAAAGATGAAGTTGGCCACAAGCCAAAGGTCTTGCTGTCTTCATTTCGTTGGTTTTTCAGAGAAAGTAAGAAGAAGTAACTTCGAGCTACCTGTACTTACTCGTAAGAACTGAATGATTTGCATTGCTGTATTAAGTTTATTCAGGAGGTGAAGTAAAAGTAAGACGATAACGAGGGGAATGACGCAACATCAACAACTTTCTCTTCCAGGTTGGAAAAACTCGGAATGAGATATTTGGGGTCGATGAATGCGAATGCACTAGCAAACGAACTACCTGTGAATATCGTGCAAGTAACTGGCAGGTTGCCTCGAACGCCTGCTGAGCTACGCTGTCACGGTCCATATCTTCTAAATCGAAGCGCCGATCTGATGATTGACCGCCTTTTGAAGATCCCTCTGACGATACTTCTGCAGCAGACTCCAAATGTTACGACAACTGATTGCGTTCGCTTGCCCTGTTTCCTCTTGTAATTCTAGTAAATACTTCTAGTAATCTTACTAGAGTTGACAATAGGCTGTGTCAATGTCATGTAGTAGAAGCCCGGCAGCACCTTGTTGTAGTTATTTGTGTTCCTTGTTACGACTGTTGAAGCAAAGTCAAGTACCATCATCACGATTATAGCCAAAGTTATTAGCGCTAATACCAAAAGCGGAAGCACAAGCAAGGCACATCAAAATTTCCTAGTGCAGCGCTTTCGCATCGGTTTTACTGCGGAGCCTGCTTCAGATATAAGTTGCTCTCCTGCTCGCGGTACTGTTTCACCGTCAACAAATAGATCGAGCGGTACGACCCGAATTTGGATTCCGGTTACGGAATCGGGGTTACGAAATCCTGTGGACGTCTCGGCTTCAGGGTTACCACCAGGTACAACGTTCGCGGACATCGTCGTGGAGTTAGTGCCATTTATTGCTGCATTCCAGCATGACCAGGATCAGGAAGTGGCACAACATGCAGGAGGACGGCGAACGAGGACGAATCAACATGGGCAGATAGCGTGCTTCGGCGTGCGATTGCTTTTGGATGATAAACGACGACGACGGGACCGCTCAATACTGAAGCATAAGGAGAAAGGGCACGACGGCGTGAAAAATGTTGAGGCGGATAAAGATGAAGACGCTCGCTTCGGTCTTGAGACTAGGTCTTCCTCAACACAGATACGGCACATATCCTCGTCGTGCTCCGAGTGGCGCGTTGCAATCAATGGGCGTGACGTAACCTACCATTTCGACAATAATGAA